AACGTCCCACTGTTCTGCTCGGAACTGGGCTAATGAAGACGGATTGAGATAATGAAGACGGGCATTCGCCATACAGTGTGCTATGAGACACTACGGCCTACTCTTAGAATTCTGTCAAGCCTTCTTTTACGTGTACGGGTATAAAGGACCTCGGTGTTTCGTTTCAGCTTTGTACCACTGACAAGGAGAGGTGTGGTAGGGGTACGCCTGAAACAACGGCTATCGTCTTTGTTATGAATCAATCTGATTAAAATACAGATCTATATTTCGTTTCGTTTTTTTTTACACTTTCGATAGCCTACACTACATGAAGATCTGACAAAATGTACTATAAGGTCGTGACATCGGTCGTACAAGCGGCTTTTGACCCTATGACGTCAGACATTGATTAATCAATCAGCGTTGACCTTTCTAGTGGTTTAGGCACAGTTCTGTGCATGGCACGCTAAGAAATCGCCCTAACAGGCCGTTTAATTAGTTTTTTCCCTCACTTCAACCAAAACACCAGTAATAAAACAACTCTTCCAGATCCTAGTGTAGTGAAGACAAGTAAAACGAAATTTTGAACTATGAAAAACTAAACGAAATAGAATCTGTGTTTTAATCAGATTGGTTATGAATATAATTCATGAAAGTTCATTAAATAATTGTTTATATTCATGTTGAATTGAAAAATACCCCACAAAACCCACAACACAGTCCCCCAGCCCTGTACCTCTGATGAGGAGGGGTGGGGTGGGGTACACCGGAAACAAAGACTATCGTGTTTGTTATGAATATAATTCATGACAGTTCATTAAATAATTGTTTATATTGATGTTGAATTAAGAAAATATCCCACAAAACTCACACCAGATTAATAAGGATAGTTAGTAGTGTTGGTTAGGACCAGCGGCGTATACAGGAAGTCTGAAGGGTGTCGAAACGGGGATTGCACATTGTCCATGTGTATTTTAGTCTGTAAATGCGCATGACTTTTGAACCAAAATCTTTCTCACACACTATCTTCTAATACGGCTCCTTCTATTAATCCTGTACTTGTCAATAATCAGGAAAAACGACAAAATCCATTAAAGAACTCTGGTAGCGCTGTACATTGTCCTATACATTTAAAATATCGCCTCTTTTGCATAGACGATGAATCATAGATTTAAAACATCGTTTGCATTGATATACCTTAACTATAAAACTAAGACATGCGTAATTCCGTTTTTAAATCTAAAATCAATGACCATAATATATACTTACAAACTGCCGTTGTTTTTTTCAAAGAAACGAGAAACACACGTATATGCTATTTAAACAGTATATTATGTTATATTCACATCTCTCACAGCGTTACGGTCGTAAACATTTTATACACGACTCCGTCACACTGGATTCCCTTTAAATCAGAATGGTGGATCTATTAAGCAGTAGAAACACAATATATTTTACTTATTCAATACAGTATACATCAATAAAATCACACTGTGTTTTTTCTAACGTTTACTATTCAATCCTTTAATAAGAATTCTTTCACGGTGTCGCAAATCGTATCCTTTATAGAAATCTGTTGTACACAATTGTTAATATGTTAGTTTATACCTTTGACACACAGTTTTTCCTTTGAGGTATACGGTATATTATGTATAAAAAGATCTTATAAATACTGAATTGTCATTGACGGATTTTAAAAGACATGCCATCGGATCGAACTTGGCGACCCGTTGCTATCACAGACAACTTCATAACAACGAGATGTTGCCACGCATTATGAATCTATATCGTTTTAACACGGTTGGCACTCATAACAAAATGACTTCCAATTGACAAATCAATTTTAGACACAGATAAGTTAAAGCGAGCCCGTGGCGGAAACTTTAATATATCATTAAAACTATCAATCGATGCACAAAATGTGAAATTACGTGGAATGTAACAGAATTGTATATTTCAAGATGCATTATGTAAGATTTAGATAAAGAGGTGTATGTTCTTGTTATAATAGTTTTTTTCAAATAGATAATGAAAAATGAATATATTGAAATGTTCAGTTAAATTATCTTATTCTGTGGGAAGTTATGAGTGTTTAAAGTTTGGTAAGCAACATCCGGTATACAAGTACCCCTGCCATGATACATTTAGTCAGTGACTTCCATTTTAAAGTTAACAGATTATATGGCGCGGATGGTCTAATCTATTCAATATCCCAGCCATCCGATGTTCTATAAGTTAATTATAGGCTTGTCATGTAAATAAATGTCTAAATAATCATTTATATAACAGACCGACAATATGACGATATATATCTCCTACATAATGCACCTTTAATGTCCGTCGCTGATTAACGTTACGTAATAAAGAATGCGTTTCTAAGTTTAGTTTTACCAGAAAAATACATCCATTTAAAGATCCGTGGATAATTTCGGATCCTGGTGCATACTAATTTTCGACTGGAGAGATGGAGGCTATCTGTTGTGGTGAACATATTGGGAAGATTCTTATTTGTTGGTTCAATAAATATGACTAGCGTCGGTCATCCATACGATCATGTTCTTTCGGTGGGTTCTCCGGTAAAAGAATATTTTACAGCTAAAGAGCTTCATGCGACTAAAATATTTGAGATATTTAAACATACATTATGCAAGAGCTAAATCTGCCTATTGCAGGTCATTCTTTAGACCTGAAACTGGAGGAGCGAGACTTAGCTTCGAACAACCAGTACGGTGGTTGAAATTATTGCACACATTTTGTCAACCCTTCAAAGGCTAATATATTCGCTCTCAATAGAGGAATTTGAATGAAATTTTCAAATTATTCATTTTACATTATCTATTTTCGAACTATCATAGCAAGAATGGCTAGTTCTTTGTCTAAATTTTACATAATGTATCTTTAATTAGACATTAATTAACTTATCCAGTCCATAATGAACTCCCGATGGAATCGCTAGCCTGCGTTATTTAGCGGATTGGAATACATTGGAAGCCGCTACAATCACTGATAGGGATGATAGGGGGGGTTGGATGGCTGAATGGTTAGCGTGCGCGCGCTGTATCATACAGTCTGTCATTGAGTCGTCTGGCGTGGTTTCGAATCCCCGGTTGTACGTGGCAAGGAGTAGGGTCGCCTGTCCAACTTCGTGGGTTTTCTCCGGGTCCTCCGGTTTCCTCTCACGCGCAAGCGAATTATGTAAATAAAATTAAACCATATGTTAGTCCCGAAATGACCTAGTTTGTGTCGAGTGGACGTTAAACCCCATTTATCTCTCTCTCTCTGATAGGGATGACATCGGTGCGGCTTAATGAGCTCGTGATATTAACATATTTCCTTCTGCAAATTAAATTCTAGGGTCATTTTTTGAAGTATTAGAAAAATAAATAAAGGTGTTTGAAGTATATCTAGATAAAAAAAAATATTTCCTATTTAGCTAAATGGGTATATAAAATGAGTAAAAGGCACCATTCGACCCGGATCAGTCCCGCTACAACGTCTTATCTAAACAATGCACGCACCATTGACCCAATGATTGACACCTCGTGATCCATACTAAACCTAGGCTGCCTGTCTACAGTTAGCTTTGCTTGAGAACAGACACTAAGCTAGTTGACCAACATATTGAGTCCTAAATCGACAATTTTAGTCGAAAACATTAAGTATTCTTCGCGAATTCTTAGAAATATTTATTCCACTTCCATTTAGTAAACTTGAAAATGTTTATTTAGTCGTTGTGTGTATGAAAGGTGTGAAACGGAGACGAACTGCATTACAAAATGGTGCATTAATTTTTAAGATATGGCGGACATTCAGGGCAGAGATCTATTCTCGGAGTAGAGGGGTCTGTGTGTGCAGAATGCTCGTGATCTTACGCTAGGATGGCCCACCATAAATAAATATCTCCATATATTTCGACAATTTCGCCACAAACTTTATATATATGTCAAGCCTCAAATCAGTTTCACACAATTATAGTCACTAAATAAACGATCATGTTGTACTTAATAAGCTATGACCATTAATCATCTATAAATAATAGACTGAAAACTGGTTCCATGTGTCGTCCATAACATCCAGACACTTTTGAGTAAAAGATAGGTTACGTGCCCTTGTTTTGAAATTAGTCTCGCTTAACCAGTCTATCGACCATTCTACGTCTGATTGACAGGTCGGGATAATCAAGACTACTTTTTTACGAAACATAACAGAAAGCTAGAACAAGAAATTGAATTTAGAAATGTGCACGTTAGCTAGCTCAACAATTGTTTTAAGAACCTTGTAAAAGTAAAATGAAACTACTGCTAGTATCATGTTCCTGTCTAACCCGAGTGTTTCAGAGATATTATTTGTACTAAACCAAAAGATGCCGCTCTTAACGGTACAGTTAATGATAAAGCGATTTAAAAAAATGAAACGAACGTAATTTCTAAATCTGCTGTAATAACCAAGAAGCTTAATTTTACTGCTATTCAAAATCGTCAACAATAAATTTTTTACGGCTGTAATAGTTGATAGATTTGTAGAGAATTGCACGTGCCATGGCTATTTATAGTATCATACTGTCAGAAAGTTGGCCTCGACACGGCGAATGTGCACGCTTCAGTGGTAGTCTCGAACTATCAGCGGTTGACTGTATTTCTGTAGGTGCATGGGTCACCCTACTACGCCACATGTTGAACTTAAAAAGGTCAGTCATCTTGTACAGAGTTTTTAGAAGCCTTTCGTAATAGGTCTGTGAAACAGAATGTCGAGTTGGTTGTTTGCGCTGAGGTTACATAATCTTGTCATAAAACTCGACGTGACACAATACCTAACTTCTGAAGTACAAACTCACTTTTTTATGTGTGTATTTCTCATTTTAGAACACACGATTTAATGAAATATGACTCTCGTGTTTCTGTTTGCCCCGAGGTTACCTAGGGTCTGAAATTTCAAGACCATTTAGTTTTAAGAATTGGCGATTATTTTACTCAAAGCAACATATATACACTTTCTACTAAAAGACTCATAAATTCCAAATGTTAACGTGTCGTACTTTCCAAGTTTTTATTAATGAATTATCAAAGTAGCAAATTATTTTATACATGTATATATAAAAAAAACATGTTTATTGATATAATAAACAATTGAATAACTATGTAAGAGAAGATGACTAATTTACAATTGTACAATAATTCCAAACAAAAACTCAATAGTATCACGTGAGATTCATAATATCTAATCAATGAATACGAATTTATGTATGCTGATTAATTGAGTATATTATTTGTAACATAATAATATAACACTAAAATAATAATACCTAATGGGGGGCACAACCAATCACTCGGCAAGCCTCGGCAGACTCCGGTAGCATTACATCTAGCGTCGGCTACACCCATATAATTGTGATGCGGCTACCGGTTTACTTATTAGGAAAAACTTGCGTAGTGTAGAGTTTTCATTGCAAAGTTGTCTTTTGTTTAAAGAAAATCGGATCAAGATAGTACATAACAAATAATATACAGTTTCTTCAGATAAAACATTCATCTTCATGGGCGAAGCCATTTTTAATCTGGGGACCTGAAAGTAGTTCCGACTTCCAATGGCGGAATTCGGCATACAACCGAGGTTAGATGTAGGGTTCCGGAGTTTTTCGAGGTTTGCCGGTGACAACCATTGTCAATGTTTTAAAAAGACAGGGTAAAAGTTCAATACAGCGTTATTTACTGGTAAGGCCTTGTTACAAGGCGATTTTCCACCAATAAAACTAACAAATGTATTACTACTTCAAACAATGCCAGGACCAGGTTGTGTCCCTTTTGCTAAAATATAAAATAATATAGTCTACATGTACATCTAGTCATTTTAAAATAACGACGGTCTGTCTTATTCCTATCTTGATTCAAAATGAGCACGCATCGCCGCAAGCTGGGCGTTTGTTTTTCATCACCCAACATACGACCTTCCAGTGCAGTCTGAGCAGTGGTCATTGATTTGCGTCGTACGTCAATCAAACGGACATATGAAGTTATGACATATAACTTAAATAAGCATCATATTCAACGCAACTATTTAGACCCACACATAACTCGTGATGTGGACCATGGACTTTGGTCACAAGCGAATTACATCCATGAGTACATGCACCTTGAAAGACAGATAAAATGCATAATTTGATAATACATAATACCCCAATAGTATATAAGCTAAAATTACAACATATAATGATAATCATGGTATATTAGCTAAAATTATAGCTTAATTTTAACTGTCATCTAAAATTATAGCTTAATTTTAATCATGGTATTTAAGCTAGAATTAAAGCTTTTTTTAAATCATGGTAAATAAGCTAAAATATCAGCTTAATTTTAACCATCAGCTAAAATTATAGCTTAATTTTAATCATGGTATATAAGCTAGAATTAAAGCTAAATGTTAATCATAGTAAATAAGCTAAAATAACAGCTTAATTTTAATCATCAGCTAAAATTATAGCTTAATTTTAATCATGGTATATAAGCCAAAATTACAACTTTACTTCAATTACGGTATTTACATGTACAGTAAAACCTGCACTTCGGGATTATCCTTAAAGGCTCAATACCACCCTTGTTGTAACTGAATAATATGTCCCAATCTTTATTCTGGTCAACAAATTGTACTATTTTACAATATTCCAGTTAATTGAGGATACAAATTTCATCTTAACACACCTAATTTAAAAAATTGGAAAAATTCAACTAAATGATTTGAAAAGCCTAACGTAAAGCTTTTTAAATGTGACTTAGATTTAAAAACATTTTCGAACCCTCTGGACAAGTAAAATATGATTTAATGGATTATTTACACAACAGGTAGGATACTTAAACATCTAATACTTAGAATAAGTCTATTATTTATTTTCTGGAGCTGTCAAGCCAGCAAGAGTGTTATTGTCCCTTTAATAGTATGAATATACAAACGACTTCCGTTATATTTTAGACCTACGACTGAGTATTCCGATAATATTAAATCATCATTACATTATTCGGAATCTCCGATAATTTGTTAATTAATGTACGCTAAACACAGGCTATTCAAACTAAATGGAAATCTTTGGTAAGCTAATTCGTCACTATATTTCTTTATTACTTTGATTCAAATAACTTTTGGTGCAAAATAAAGATTATATTATTTGGGATGAAATAATTTAAAGAGAGCTATTAGTCAACTACTGGCCAGTACTGTATACATTTTCTATATGGTTAAATCTATGTCTACAAAAATAAGGTTAAACCGTGGAATTTTATTAATTTTAACAGAACTAATAGGATAACAAAGGCCATACCAATTAGATTTTTAGCTATTCGGTATGATATATTCCACATGAATTATGTTATCTTGTAGAATTTCAGAACCGAATAATTTGGTAATAAGAGCTTTTATAAAAAATAACCAATTTAACTCCTAAGAAAACGACGCATAATTTAGTAGGTGTGGCCTAAAAAAAACTGAATATGTTGGAGAAAATATGGAATTATGGAAACAACTGAAACGAAATTGTGGCAACAAAACTCTTTATTTGATCTGGTAGAACAATGCTAATTTAAAATATAACAACCATATACTCAACGAAAAAAGAAAAAAAAATAATCGTTTAAGGAGATCAAACAAAATTCATGGCAACAATAGAAATCTTGAACAAGGTTACAATTAAAATCACTCGTAGTGCTAAACAGTATTTACATTGACAAAAAATAACGGCCTTTAACTATTTTTCATAATTACAGTCAATCATTTTCTCAAGGTCAAGGTCAAACCAGTCCTACATATCATTTTGAGGTCTGTATTAGGGATTAGCAACCCGTCAAAGAAAGAAGAAATGCCATGGGCATAATCGTTTGTCATAATGGAGTGACATTGATCAGGTTATCTGACATGGGTTATAAGTGGTATTGTTGCTGACCTTCTCTTAAATCTTTAAGGGATTTTATATACTGTCCACTTAAAACACTAATCAATAGTTGATCGAAAAAATTCTGAGATAATATTTCTTTTGTTTAACTGTTTTTTTGTTTGTTTTTTTTTGCAGACCAGAAACTGGGCGACTAGGAACGGAACCTCATGTGCTACTCATCTTGTTCTTGTTCCTCTTCTTGGGGCCGACGATCTTCCAAATAAAGTTTATGGCATGCTGATTTTTGATGAGGTAGCAATTCAAAGATGGCGGTGATGACGTCATGCTCGATTCCTGGTTCACGGTACGGCGGTACTTGTTTAATATAAAATCCAAGCCCCATATTCAAGTAAAAAAGCTAACGTACCGAATACTCAATAGCTGTTATGTGCTAACATTTGATAAAATTACTTTTGTGGTAAAATATAATAGAGAAAGAAGCCAGAATGGACTGGTCAGTTGCGATGCTGAACACGCATATGGTCTTAGATAGTGGTAAAATTCTAAGTAAATATTTCTGGTTCTGTGGCATCGGTAATAAAATATATTCTCCACACATCTATATCCAACATTGTAATTCCTGAAATTGACAAAAATCAAATCTTTTACCCAACTCTAAAAGGGGCACTTATGTGCAAGCATAATCTTATGGCCGTTTTCAAAAGAAAACGAACAACATAATAAGGACTTTAAAAGTTGGCCAATCAAATCAGCATGGCTTCGGGCACAAATGTCAAATACAGCTTAATTTTAACACTCTAAAATATTGTATTATTGTCTGGATACGACAAGCCACAATTCAAAGAACCATAACTCTAAACAAAGAATCGCATACAGTCTTTTCCTACAACAACTTTTACTATATACAATATTCAAAGATAGATCTCTATACCCATTAGGTTATAGATAAAGGTGTAATCAATAAATACATACATTCTACATTCACCTGTAAAATATACGTATGTAATCAATAATGTCTCGAGAAATGAATGTGATTTGTCTTAGTTCGGGACTCATCTTATGACTATTACCCAATACTGAGATTTAATGGTAAATAACTGTTATATTCTGGATTAACCCTTTCTACTCTGTAATGTCTGAGTATAAATTCAACAGAGTCCGAATTTACCCAGAGCGATGGTTGGGGTGGCCTTGTGGCCTACAGTGTCGCGCTTCAAACTCTAGCTGACTGGTCCCCACTGTCTGGCCGTCTTGGTTTCGATCACTGGTGTGAGCGTATGTGGCTTGGGGATAAGGAGTGACTCTCAACTAGGAAGGTTTACTTCGGGTACCTCGGTTTTGTCCCACTGAATAAACTAAAAATAAGCCAACTTATCTACGATATTATCCACTTGGCAAACCTCTGCAGACTCCGGTACCCTACATCTGTATCACGACAAGTGATATGTAGCTACACCCATACAATTGTGATGCGGCTACCGGTTCACTTATTGGGAAAAGTTCTCTAAATGGCGTCGTTCGAAGAGTGCACTCTCGCAAATGAAGTGACGACACCTCCCACGTGAAGTGTGGATGACACTACATTGAGACGTGTTCGCAGTGAAAACTTTGATAACCGAAGTGTTCATTTCTACCACACTTCAAACATCACACTTCAAATTTTTGATGAAAAAAAGAAGGCAGAAATGATATTGAAGTGAGGATGCGGCCATATCAAATATGCAAAATAGGCTTCCGCAAAGTGTACATTTCATCAACACTCCAATTAACTCACTTCTGAACACTTCAACAACATGTTATCCACACCTCAGCCGAGTGTGTATAGGGTGTTTTTATCATGGCGTAGAGTTTTCATTGCAAAGAAAAGCGGTCCTTTGTTTACAGAAAATCGGATAAACTTGAAAGAAAAACAGCTCCAGACATTGAAAGCTTTGTATGATAAAACACTCTACACAGACGTCTTTCTTTGCGCCGCCATTTTTATGCCGGGAATTTGAAAGTAGTTCCAGCGGAAGAATTCATCATACAGCCGAGGTTAGATGTAGGGTACCGAAATTTACCGAGGTTCGCCGAGTGCGATATGATCTTTAGAGAAAGCGGGCGTTAAGCACTACGAACAGTAACAACTAACACCTATTTGCAGAGCTATTCTTTGTGTATCAGTGCTTATCTTACATTTGCTTTTCTTTTAAATGATTGTTTAAACTTACCTGCATTGTGTATCAATATTTCTCTGTACGATGTTTGTTTGTGACTGTGATTGGACTTGTACTGGTTGAAAGACAGTATTTCTACGAATACACTGAGTCATATTTGTTTCAAAATCTAAAATTCTTTGTTCTTGTGGTTTCACTTGTCGAGTGTTGTTTTCGTGACACTGAATAGTCAGTTCTGTTTAAGAAAAAGATACCAAATCTTATAAAAATCATAAATATATACAATTTAACAGTATCCTATCCAAATTCATGTTCAATTGACCTGACTTGACCTTTCATTTAGCCAATGGTGAGACGTATTCTCGTAAACCAGAATAGTTTGGCTAATCACAAAAAATAAACAAAATTAAGATCAGATGAGAAATTAACAAATTTAAATGGAATGAATTATAGACCTATACAACTTTTCCTCAACATAATACTGATGGCATTTCCTGACTATTTATGTGTCTGGATCATACCGTGGGGTTTCTTCGGATGTTACGTGTCTTACCAATTTGTGTACGGGACGGCTTCTGGACAACACATCTTGTTGAAAATATCAAGCCAATTCAATATCCCCCCCCCTAACAAGCACCATCCACACAACCCTTACCTTTCATATAATATCTACGACAGAAATATCTAAATCCTTGAATAAATCTCTCTTGTGTAGGAAGCATATACCTATATTCGACTGACAGACAGGACTCTAAAGCTGTATACGAACATCTTAGTAAAACTTCGTAGTTTTCCAATCGACTGAAATTTTAGAAAATAAAGATACAAAATAATAGGACTGTATTTAGATACTAGACAAGCTTAGTCAAAAGCAAAGTTTATAGCTATCTGTGGAAGTGGACGTTAAACCCAAACAACAAATGAATCTCTTATAACATGTCAGCAATATCAACGTAGATGAAGGTAGACGCAGTCACAGAACTCCGCGGTAGTAGTAGTTGGTACGTTACAGAGATGACGGCTGTCGCTTGATCTTAATGGTGCAGAAACTTCAAGATTTTGAATTTTGTAAACTTACCTACAGACTTCAGGTATTATTGCAGAATATGTTGCTGGATCCATGAAAGATCTACCGTTAATTTTTCTAGTGATTTTTGAAACATCTTCTCTATTGCTAATATAAGGTTGTTCAAATGATCTCATACAATTGTCCACTCTGTCATCTATTTGCTGACATAGTTCTTTATATATTTCAAATTCACAAACAGATATATCAACTGAAATAAAGAATACACAAAAATAAATTAAGACAATTGTATAGAAGTACTAACATCTAGTTTGGTTTCTTTTACATTGAAATGAAATGAAATAGGGTTTAACGTTCTACATTTCTGCACCAACCGGGATAATTAAGACAGGCACTGTGCACTCTTTTTTCGAATTCCAAATGTCGAGAGTTCTTTTACATTTTGTACACCATTGGAAAGACTAAACACTGTTCTTTGCCAGGCCCTGGAATCCCATTATGGACAGTCGTTGCTTAGTTTGGGGTGGGAAGCGTTTAACCCCAAGGAAATTTGGGAAAAAGTTAGAACCTGGCAAAGAGACCAGAATTAAAGTCACTGGGGAAATTAATGGCCATTGACCAATGAAAGCAATGACCCATAATTGCTATTTGATTCGATGGCTTTGGCTATTGACTTAAAATTGCTTGTTGCCATTGCTACGCGTACGGGAACATGTTCTAGTTCCTTGCATGTATTTCCATACGATAATGTCACACAAAGATTAAATAAAAATATAATAAAGTATAAATTAATTACTGACTATTTTGGGTCAACAATGTTATCAGTTGTCATCCGTGGCATTAAGTTTGGTTATTATTTATTTCCTAAATACACGCCCTATTAAAGTGATAACCAAATGGTTCACCAAAATAAAAAAAAAAAAAAAAAAAAAAAAAAATAAAAAATAAACCCAAACAAAGCAAATCTGCTCAAAATGGTTCACCAAAATAAAAAAATAAAAAAAAAACTAAATAAAAAAAAACTAAACCCAAACAAAGCAAATCTGCTCAAAAAATTTGCCCCATTCTTGTAGTATGGACTCTTATAAAACTTCACGTAAATTCACCCGCGGAACAAAAAACAACATCAAAATAATCATAGAACACGGAGCAAATCTTGATCCCATCCCCCCAACCCAACCCAAACCCCCCACCCAAAGAAAAAAAAACCCAACAACCAGGGCTGCCGACAACCAGTATCGCAGCGCAATTTGCGATACATATTTTGTCCGTTGCTAACCAAAAATTAAAATCTAACGTTTTTGATTCGCAGTTACAGCGAATCATTAATATGCCTGTCATTTTGGATATTGACACAAGAATAATCCACATTTTGAAGACTAGAAGGCTTACTCAACACTTTCAACGTGTATAAAATGTTGAATAAAATTTTATAAACAAAACTGAATTCTCCGTGTGACATTTTCTTCTCGAACTGCCCAGACACAATACTATATAACACAGGGACATAACTCTATGAATAGGGACTATTAAACCGGAAATAGGGAATCAAGTAGTACCACTCACGTTGTGAGACATCAAGTAATTATATCATATTCATTTTGAAAGAAATAAATCCAGTGTATCTCCCACGTATTGTAAATAAAATATAAAAAAAATAAACACATGTTAACGTATTGTAAAATGATAAATCAAAGTAAAAATTCCCGTAAAATATTATTGTTTATATCGCGTGTGTCTAGTTAATCGAGGTGCGCCCGATTGAACAAAAATAATAATACACGATAAAAAGCAGACGAAATTGTTTTCTAACGAAGATTTCTAACATAACAAAAAAATTACAATTAAAATGAGTGGGGTTCGGAAGTCACTGTCAAGAATTGGCTTCAGACGTAAGACCTAACTAAATGTCTACATCACATTCACAAACTGTCACAAGTACTTGTGGCAGTGCTAAAAAATCTAAGAGTGGTCAGAATGGAATCTAATCATATTTCAATTCGTTATGAATTAAAGTAATATCTTGTTTTTTAGGTGTTTTACGTTGAAACTGAAAAACTGCTAATCAATTTTTAAATTTGCTAATCAAATTTGGCAAAATTGGACTTTTTGATTAGCAGTGCTGCTAATCAACTGTGAAAAACTACCGACAGCCCTGCCAACAACACAACCGACCATTATGACTCTTAGATTGGAACTTATAAATTTCAGCAAGGGATTTGAAGAATTAGGTTTTTTTTACACAATGTACGTTAAATATATTCGCTAGGACTATAATATATAATCAAATTAAGTGAAATCGAAAAAAAAAAAAAGATTTTTACTAATCAGTGACGATCGGCAGAATGAGAGCACCCCTTTAAATCACAGCTAGACATCTGTGACGTTCAAGTTGGATCGTATATCACACTTGTTAAAACATGAGGACATTGTAAATAAAACGTGTCGGAGTGCGATAAACCTATTTTTTTGTTTAGTCAATTTGAAAAAAAAAATGAAATGAAATTGGGTTTAACGGCCTACTGTTCTGCCCCGAATGGGCTAATAAAGACGGACATACGCCATACAGGGTGCTATGAGGGACATTTTGCCAAGACAGCCGCTCTACGGCCTACTCTTACATCGAATTCCATCTGTTAGGGGATCTATTACGTGCAAGCCAATGTGTACACAGAACCGAACTACAATATTGTTAATTGCCAGGCCGTCTTTCCTGCAGCACTGCCAAGGATGATCCACGCCGGAAAATCTCGATGAACTTTCTCGGCCAACGCAGAGATCTAACACAGAACCTCCAGGTGAGCGAGCCAGCGTCTTACTCACTGAGTCACCGTGGCCCCTAATTTGAAAAAAAAGAAGGCTGTTTATGATAAAAGAAAACTGTTGATAATATTCTGAATGGTGTACATGTATATCACCTTGAGAGCTAACGTCAATGAAATCTGGGTATATTTAAGAACCAGGAACTGAACCCGAGGCGCTACTTATTCTGTTATTGTTGTTCTTCTTCGAAAAAAGTCAGTTCAAGTACGGTCGACATAAATTTTTACTTGGGAGTGACAGGTATTGTATTAGGTCGTTAACATGCCAACCTGTCATCGTTAATCCCATCGATTGCTTTTGGCCATTTATTACATCGTTTAAGCATTTATCACTTTTTCACCCATGGCCATATCAGTTTCAATTACAATAGCTACTTGAATCCTATTATTATTGATGATAACTAAGTCACTAGTTAGAACTCATTACTGTTTTCAGTATCTGACTTGTCAGTATTGTATGACAATATATGTATATTTATGTATATTAAAGAATCGAAGAATGACCCTAAGGCTGTTATATCCGAAGATAATTTGCACCTCAGAAGTATTCCGGAAAGTTCAGTCAATGAAAATAAAGTCACTACATGTATCTCGAAATACTTTAATTGAAATGAGGTGGAGTATGATCTATTTCAATCCGTAACATTGAGTCATGTTAAAATAAATCATTAAATATGAGATTTGTGATTTATCGATAAACAATAAAACTTGACACGAAGGTTTGTACAATTCAAGATCTATTACTGACTGTATAGATTAGAAATGATTACGTCATTAAGTCATGTGTATGGAATTATCCATTGTATATTAGTTGTCTTTTTGTACATTAATTATAATCATGCATCTACAATTATTTATGTATATTATATATATTTATAATTATCATTATGTATAGCAGATGTATTTCTAATTATCATTATGCATACCAGATGTTTTTATAATTATGATCATGTATAACATATGTATTTATATAATGTGCATACCGAATGCTTTTGTAATATTCATCATGCATATAAATGTATTTTAATCATCCGTCATCATGACCTTTTGTCGACTGACAACACTACTTTAAATTATGGAAGGGAAAATTAAATAAAAATATTTATCAAGATACTTGACGCCTTGTTGCACGCCGAATGAAAAATTACTTGGAACTCTTAACTTCATCCACAGCCCAGTTGGTTGTCATTCGCACTTTTCAGACAAAGTATAATTGTTCTTTTGACATTTAAATAAGATAACAGAGCCCAAATAGTTAATTTCCTGGATTGGATTATATCGGATTAAAAGGAGGCCCATCAAGAGATTTTACCCAATACGTGTAGGCGGCACTGGTTTGTTTATATCGTCTACAGAGGATGTCGGATATTGGAAAATTTTCAATTCAACATATCTCTAAATACTGAACGGAATTTAATAAATATCGTATCAATGTTTGTGTTAGATATTCAACTGCCACATAACTGTTGTTTGATCTGTAGTGTGTTCGGGTATTAAGATGCGGAGATTATCATCTATATTGTTACAACCGATTTCATTGCTTGAGTTTGGAGGGGAAATGAAAATGAAATGATATAGGGTTTAACGTCCTACAGTTTGGAAGGGTCAGGGGTAATTAAGAGTATAGTCGCCTTCCTGACCTCGTGGTTTTTTTTTGGTTGTCCTAAAATTAAAACCAAATATTGAAAGAAGTAAATATATATAAGTTCTCAAACAATCCAAATGAAAAACTAATTTACGTGATTAAATCAGAATTTTAGACATTGAAGGGATATTTAAACTGCACTTCAACAAATATCTCCCCCCCCCCCACCATTATATTACCATGACTATAACAGTATACAGAGTCAGTCATGCAAAACAATAGACATGATGAGATCTTTAAACTGTACTATATATTCACAAAACATAAATGTACAAAAAAAACAAAAAAACCCTAAAAGAAACCCAACACCCAACATTATAAAAGTATATACATGTATTATCATGACTAACAATAGCGGTATACAAAGTCAGCCATTTACATCGATAGAAACATGGTATGCACACAATAAACTGAAATTTCAACTTTGAGGGTGATAATATAGCATTGTTAGGAAACTAGCAAGGAATAGAGGTCTGGCAAAATGTGTTAATTTTGACAGAAATTTAGGGTGCTATCATGGCAAAATGCCCCCTCCCTGTCTGTCTCCCTCTCGCATCATAAAATGCTCTCTCGCATGTTAAAATGCTAAAAAAATGCCCTCGCTGTCATGGCAACAACCCTTATCCCGCTGCCCCTCTTCTATGGGGTGGACTCGAACCCTTCTATTTAAAACAAAATATAGTCCATCCACTCATTACGTGATTCGCGGCGGATTTAGCTTCCTTGGGCAGAGCCAACCGTTGGTGTCCTCGGTCATACACACACCTCGGCCATTTTTCTCGACCTTGACGAAAATCCTGGAGCCGCCTATATTATACAAACAAGGAATATCTGTGATGAATATGTACTGTTGTATTTCCTTATTTAATCTGGTATTAGTTAGGATTTAAACATTCCATTGTTATTTTTGTATTAAGGTACACGTGTGTGTAATGTTTATGTCACCTATGCGCAGCAGGGAGCATACATGTCTTTTTCAAAGTACATGGTGTTCCGACCCCGTTTTTAGCCCAAACTACACATACCTATAACTGTGTTCTGACCTACTTTCCTTATTTATTGTTGATACATACATTGTATATTGTTCATCACCTGAGATGAGGTTTCAGTACAAAACTTATAAACCCTGACGTATTGTGGAGGATTGTGCAACCGTTTCAATTGATTGAACATAAGATATTCGCCATTAATCCGGTATCATGACAATGGGTGTTTTATCATGCGTCATACATACTACATGTACTGTATTCATAACAGAAATGGGGTTTAACGTCCAACTTATATGTACTTTCTGGGTTAATGAAGACGGACTTACGCCATGCAGTGTGTGCTATTGGGGAATTTGACCCGGATAGGCTATTCGTGGCAATGTTTCCTTCAAGTGCACGCCAACGTGTACAAGTACCGGACCCTGGTGTTTTCGTTCCACCCAACATTTAAAACAACAGGATCGCTTTAAGTATATATACCTATATATATATATATATATATATATATATGCATAGCCCTATATTTATCTATAATGTTTAAATCAATGTAAAATAAAATGCCCACCATTTTAAACGGAACACAAACGATGTTTGCCGGTGACCTGAATACAAAGTGATCGATACACTTAACCATGAACACTACAATAACACATTACATAAAATATATACATACCTAAAAATATCAAAACTAATACTCTTAACGACGTCATTTTGAATCCTTTCCAACTGTTATGTACTCATGTTCTCTAAATCCCCCAGTGCACAATGTAAGTGTCGTCTGTTCTGAATGTGTATTTGAATGAGGATTCAGTTTGTCATTCGTCTTAGTCACAAAGAATACCGTTGTGTGACGATTATTCTATAAATAGTAACATCCTTCGGGTGACAGGTAATCCACCGGGACAGGTATTTTATTCAGAGTTATCTCCCTTATAACGGTACACCTTCGAAATCTCTTCTTGCCGTAGGAGGTATTTTGAATCCCTTGCTAACTACAATATTGTGAAAGTTGTGTCTCTAAAACTAATTTCAGTAGACAAATGGTTCGATTCCGGTCAGCATTTGAATCCCTTAATTGCAGTTGCATACTGCAATATTGTGAAAGTTATATCTCTAAAAATAATTTCAGTAGAAAAATGGTTCGATTCCGTTCAGTATTTACAAATAATATATCACGAATTAAAGATGTCAACATTCGGCACCCTTTGCTATGGTTAAAACAAGCCAGAGGCACCTACAAATGTTTAGTATATTCTATTGCTTGGTCCCTTCTTTATCCGATTTAATCCAAACCGAGAGATTATCAATACCGTTGATATTTCTTTACGCTTGTCCAAGCTCGTGTTTTCTTCTCCGGTTTTCTCCCATTGCTAAAGAACCCTACATGCATGCGAATTAATGAAATAAAATTGAACCACATGTTAGTGACTATGGATTTCAATAGGGTTCGCCCTTAGGATTAGAGAAACAAATCCATCAAGTTTAAGAACTAGGACTTGTAGCATGTTTACAAGGTAACAGGAGTAGTAAATCAATACTTGTCTCTCAAATTTGGATAGGATCCCCCCTTAGGGATAACCAGAGAATCCCAGCATGCTCAGAAAAACATTAAAAAGCAGATGGGGTGTTTACAAATCTGAACGTTGTGGACTAGAATTGTGGGCAAATCGACGGAAAGACAGGAAAGACATCCATATACGCCTACATGAAATGAAGGCGCATGATAAGTCATCGTCCTAAAAATACAGAATGATTACACGATTCTCGAGTAAAAAAAAACCGATTGCATACGGGTTATAAATATTATTGTCTTATTTACGGGTCATTTAATTTAATGATAAAGTGTTTGATTTGTTGGTATTTTACGCCGGCGTCCACGGCATATGACCAGGAGCCAATACTTGTATATTGTCCACTTAAATTTTGTTTTTGATGGGTGACATTATGCATTTCTTTTCTCCCCTTCTGGGGGTATTGGTTGATCGCGTGGTCTAACACACGAGCTTTAGATCATACATCTGTCATTGAGGCAAGTGGCGTTGTTTCGATTCTAAGATTGCACCTGACAATAAGTAGGGTCACCTGTCCGACCTCATGGGTTTTCACCCAGTGATCCGGTTTACTCCCACAGCTAAAGACATCTACGCGCAGCGAATTATTGAAATAAAAGTGAACCATATATTAGTGTCGAAATGACCAAGGCTACAATACCTAGACAAAATGGTACCCATCTCATTTACACAAGAAAGAATAACACATTATTAATTTTTTTTTACAAGGAAACAGTCCCTAGATAAGATAGAACCGATTTTAATCCATAAATGAAACTAAAGAAATCGAATTCGGTTTAATGTTTCGAAACGGAAAATTAATTTTAACTTATACAAATAACACACCAGATCAAAACAATTCAACTCTCTAATTTGGGTTATGGACATTATGGTCTTAAACCGTAATGACCTACAAAAATTAGTCAGAACGATAAAAAAAATGGTCATAACGGCCATAATTTTGTCAAAACGGCTAAAATATATTAACATATTACAAAACTATTCCTTTTGTTTAGTTTGTTTAAAACTACACGTACAACCCATTGATAAGGAAAATGCAAGAAACTTATTATTTTATTTAATTATTTATCCGTAGTTTCATATTGTTGCATGGATAGGTTTGATCACCATTTCTATAGCATCCATAATAACGCAATAAAATTGTCAACTTCACCATTAAATACTGCACCATAGACAGAATAAATAAACACCATAAAATTAAAAAGGAGAGGAATGGTTATTATGAAGATATTTTAAACTCGCATCCTTTCCGTGAGAAGTAGGTAAACATCTTGTTTAGGGATACATAACTCACAAGACCCAATATTGCAAAACATAGTTGTACATCCTGTCATGCCAGATAAAGTATATGTCTAAAGTCTGTTACGTCCATGTTCGTAAACGAGATTATCAAATAACTGGTCTGATTCCAATTTCTAACTCAGGGGCAAATAACTCGTCTGGAACAGATTATTTTTCTGTCGATATAATAATATCAAGGTGAAAAACGGGTTGGAATTAAATAATTGGGATAAAAGTTCACTACTCTACATTCCGTTAACTATAGTAGCAATACTCATCAACTTACGCTAGGTAGACAATCGAGTCTACGATGACGTTTAAAAGCTTAATGTTATTTTTGAAATATTTACCACGTGTGCCTGTGGTCACACCGGACAAAATGTCGATCACCATTAGTTGTCATGTTCATCACTATATACTGTACCAAATACAAATTAAATAACAACATTGAGTTATCTGCACAATCACTGGTTATTATTATGTTGTTTTAAAATTTATCCGTTCACCCGTTTGGTTTCCCACAGCAAACCCCCCAAAACTCCCAAACAAGAAGTACCGGTAATTAATGTTCCGTCTTTATTTTTTCAAATTATACACTCCGCTTTGTAAACGTTGCCAACTTATTATGGTTTTTGTTATTGAATTCACTTTTTCTAATATTAATCAATAGTAATATGAATTGTAGCACTAAACAAATAGTTTATGTTTAGTTTATGTAACAAGGATTGGAAATATAAAGGTGAATAACCGTAGTCCAAAGAATTCTATTTTTACGAATTTGTTACTGGATGATCAAGTATGCGCAAATAGACTGGTGTATCAACCATGGTAACCTCGTATTGGAAAAAGAACGGGGCGAAGTAAATTCCCCTTGGCTCAACGACGATATCGGTAAACAAATACTTGTTAAGACGGAACAAAGAACATATCTTTGTCTTATCCCTTTTGTCTGGCAACCTTAGATGTTAATCCATTTTTAGCTTTTTTTTTCTCGGATTTAAAAAATAAGACTTAAGCGTTTGAACAAACGATCATTGATGAGTTTTGTAATAAATGTATTGTATGATGTTCTTGAAGAAAATAAAATTGTAAATACCTATTTATTTTACTAATAGAAATGATACAGTTGAGCAGCCTTATTAGCCTGATGTAATTTATCTGCCATCAACTTGGTGTTGTTAGCACATATGTCCTCATCCTTATCCATAATTAGCGAATCGTCAATATAATAAGTACACCGTATGCCCTGGTGTCTGAAGAAAGTATAGACTGGCTTTAAAAGCTTTGTAAACACTGTAGGTGCTGAGGCAATTCCAAAAAGAAGGGCTACAAAAATGATAAAGTTGATTTCTCCAAAAAAAAACTTAAGGTATTGAAAAAAATTACTATTAATTTTGACACTAAAGTATACATCCTGCAAATCTAAGGATTTTAAAAAAAATCATTCTTTTGAATAAGATCTAAAACAAAATCCAAACTTTTGTTTAAAGTGTTCATAAACAATGAAAGAATTTAATTGCCGCAAATTAATCACCGGTCTAAACTTGTTATTTGGTTTCGGAACTATAAAAATATTGGAGATGAAGTCTCCCTTATGCAATACAGACTTTACAATGACACCTTAAGCTAACAAGACAGAAATTTCATTATCAATAATAGCTGCTTTTTCACTGGATAAAGTAATTTCTTTTGGGATAGAAATGTTGAATAGGGTCTTGAATAAAATCATTCTTACAGCCTAAAATCCAGTTATCAGAGGCTAGCAATTTCCATTCACCCAAACATTTAGAAATGTCACCTACCGTGTTCGTAGGAGGAACTGTTTTTTGTGTTTGAACCTTGAAATTGAAGGGCACCTCTACCTGGTCTTGTCGGACCTCTGTAGTTCTAAGGGTGTGCTCTGTTGTAGGCACTATGGGCATTGTCACGGCCCGGATACTGATAAAATCTATTTGGACGGTCAGCTCTCCTTGGAGTTGCAGCATAAAAAAGAGGTTTTTCACGTCTTAAACGCAGCGAAGTTTCACATTTCCTGATCTCCTTGCGATCATCATCCCAAAAAAGGAAAGTACTGATCGGTGTATTGAGGTTACACAAATTAAAGTACTTCGGATGTAACGTAGGTCGTAATAAATATCTTCTTCCTAAGGAAATATTATATTGAACCTGACCCGACAAAGTGATTGAATCTAACCTCTGGATTGTTAGAAAATTGATCCTTTAACAAGGCTGCTTATTTAACAAAAGGGATAATCCCAATAGCCACAAGTTCCTGGATATCTCTCAATCTTTGATCAGTTTTGTGTGCTTTTCTGTCAGTTTTACTCCAAATTTCTGGATTCACACGAGGTTCGCCCCAGTCTATCGCGCAGTTCGATGGAATTTTATATTTGAATACAATAGTTTCAGTCAACCACATTGAGGTGCAAGCAGTATTAATTAAAGTTAAGCAAGCGAGTCTGAAATAAGCGAACCAAGTTCTGGTGCCTTCAACTTGGGTAAATCCCAAACAAAATCGTTTGATACACTATTATCATTAGGCCTACATTCCTCTACAGTGCCTTGGGCCTGCATGTCAAAATTAAAGTCATTATCAAAATCAAATAGGGCCCCGGCAATGTCCTTCGTAAAATTAGCTTGCGCTTTGGTCTGCCATGTATCATCTAGTTTGGTATTCTCCGTCAAAGGATCAAAATCGTCGAAAAAAACGCCTTTTGGCCTATCGTAATCACTGAAATCAATGGTTTAAACTCTACATGTTTTTTTAACTGGAGACTGTACTCCAAGTTTTTGTCGTAACTGAACAATATCACTTTCAGTACGTTTGTCTAAATTAATTATATTCGAACTCTTGAGACTGACATGTAGCATCATTAAATAAAATAGGATTATTGTTCACTGAGGTGCCATTGGCAACCGTCTGTTTATTAGAGCGCGTGCTCTGTGGTTCACAGTGTGAACGATTACCTCCCTTATCGGAAGCTCTCTTACGGAGGGTCCTTTTATTATATATACTCTCCCGTTTAGAAGCATTGCATTTAGTTTTATTATGTAACGAACCTTTATTAGCATTCAAAGTCGGATTAAGTACATCAGTATGTCCCCTCTCAACTTCAGAAAAATCAAAACCGAGAAACTCCGTCCCGGAATGGTCACCCAAAGAAAGGACGTCGTCCTTTTCCGAAGCCATAATATAAACAACAGAACAGCTTGAACCAATGGTCCAAAACAAACACGGTAATGTACAAAACGAAAGAAGAAAACAGTAAATGTTTATCTAGTAAAAATAAAACAGCGCGGCTAAAACAGCCAGCTACGAAACCAAAAGAGAGGTGGGGGACAAACCTGTCGACTGTCTCTTACGAACGCTGAATTAATTATAATGATCATATTTGGGCATACCAGTGCGCACGAACTGGGAAAGGGTTCAAGGGTCAACATGTGACTTTTTTAGTTGAATTTTTCGTCGTTTACTCGCGTCACTCGAGTCGACTCCATTGCCGAGTTTACCCGGGTGAAACATCCCGAACGGTCCGAGTAGTCACATGACATCAAAACAGTTACGACGTCAGTATGTGATCGAGAGACAGGCTTTTTTGCGTATAGGACGCCATTTTGTCACGTGACAAACCCTTTTACTCCCCGCTCAATGGGGAGTAAGTGGGTTAGTCACGTGATGCGACTCGAGTTAGTCATGTGACCAACTCGATTCAAAACGCGAACGGTCTGGTGTCGACTCGAGGGACTCGGGTGAACAACGAAAACCTTACCTTAAGTAGCGTGTCTTACATACAACTGGTCCTATGCTAAGTGAATACATGTGAAAACTGAAGGCCTTACGGAAAATAATGGGGTTTAACGTCATACTGTACTGTTCCGATTGGGCTAACGAAGACGGGAATACACCATATAGTGTGCTATAAGAAAAAAATTGCCCGGACCTATTCTTTTATGGAATTCGAACTACCAAAGGTTCTTTTACGTGCACGACAATCTGTATACGATACCTTGATTTTTCGTCCCATCCGAACGGCTATACGTTACCTTTTGCCAGACCCTCTATCCTGCACCACTGGAAACCACGCCGGTATTGCATAAGACTATACACACGCGACGGTGACGTTGGCGTTTGGAACTAAGACGCCGTGTGGCGGTGATAATGAAAGTTTATTTTACGTTTAATCAAAATCAATCAACTAGAATTAAAGTTACTGAGTTTCAAAGAAACGCCTATTAAATCTGAAGTAGGCGAGTTAAATGTGCCAGGATGGCGTTGATGTTTGGCTCGATATCGGTGTTGACTGAGATAATTCCTCGTGATTTGCCAGCGTGGTTTCCACTTGTCAGTGATGTAGGAGAAAAAAACCGAGGTCCCGTGTCCGCGTTGGCATGCACGTAAAAGAAGTCTTGGCAGTTGGAATTGGAGATAAGAGTATATGCCTTAGCACCCGTCTTTATTAGCCGGTTGATATAGAAAAGTAGGACGTTGAACCCCATTTCATTTCATTGACTAGAGTGTAGCAGAAGGACAGGAGGGCGAGGGGCTAAAAACGTAACATAAATTATAAACCATATAATATTTAGATGTAAGCTACAGTAATTATAGCATGTCTAGTCTAAATCTATCAAAGTTTACGTTACTAAGAAAACTGTAAATATACGCGATATGTATTCACCTCAGATCTGCGAACCTGCTCTTTTATTTACTCAGTCAAGTTAAATTAAAAATTCTTTTTAAGCAACTGTAGGCTTTAAAATTGAAAAAGGAGGGAAAAAATGAAGCTAACGGTTAAACGTTGTGAACTCTACATTAAACCGAAACTTTACATTCTGAAATTACATGAAGACGTCAAATTTGTGTTATTTGAACAAGGTCAAAGCCGGATTAACATTTACGTTACAAATTAGAATTATATTGGGATAAGCTTGGCATCATCGATGTTAACAACAGGGGCGTAAAGCGTGTCACCATCACCTTGTGTAATTCGTCATGTAATTTTATAATTAGGTCATTTTAAAATATTTTAAAACTGGTACCCCGCTACAATTCTATTACTTAGACGAAGTATAGATCCTATTTTAGATTTTAAAAATATCAGATCTCCAAGGAATTATTACAATCTTTAAAACAAGATCAACGTCAATACACAATTATCCCCGCTGCTCCCCACAATACGCTCATTTAAAGCCAGGATCCGATGCGCCAGTTTAGCTCCATAGAATCACTTTCAAACTACAATATTGTAAAAGATGAATCTCTAACAAAAATATCAATTCCGAAAATACTTCAATTCTGTCCAGTATTTACAAAGATATGTGTAATTGAAATTTTATCGATCAATTCTGATCGCTATTCCAACAATTTCTTGTCCCCGAAAAAATTTATTGATAGGCCTCGGCATTTTGGTTTTGATTTCGTAATTTAATGTTAAAAAATCAATCTGAGTACATATTATTATAAGCATGGACCAAGCCGTGAGAAATTTTATATTTTAGCGGAAAGTGGAAATGGCGCATCGGGACTCTAAGACTGCTGGCTCATCAGATAACATTATTCAACGAATTTATACGTTATTTTAATTTAAACTTGTGCCGGAATCATTTGCAACTCAATATAGACAATTTCACTATTCTGGGGTTTAACAAAGTTCTAGAATACTCGCTGTTTATTCACTTTTAGCTTAGACCGATTGCCTACAACAAACATCATGTCGGTAACCAGAAGAAACATATGTATTCGAAATATGACGTGTATACGGAAAATGGTATTTGTCAACTTGGCTAACATGGGCCATTGACAAAATATGTAGTGAGAAAATCGGAAGAGGTAACAATATTCTGTCTGTTAACTTTGAACATTGGCAAACGATAGGTGCTGTATGGTCAGATTTCGTAGTCAGACTGGATAATTACGTCTAAACAAATACGGAAATATCCAGTGAAAATCAAGGTTAAAACAAACTTATAGTAGACCAGTCGCTTCGTGATACAGAGGATTCGCCGAAGCTTTAACTGTGTTGGAACGAGTCCGAATAGATTTTGTTGTGTTGGTAGATGCGAGCAAATAATGACTGATTGTTCTTTCGTGAAAGCGTCAAACAATACAAAAGGCAGTACAATCGACGTCTTCTACTCTAGTGTACCTACATGAAGAATGGGAATTTCATTTAAAATATAAATTGGATTTAATTTGAAGGTAAGAGAGTAGAACATATTAATGAAATAATTTAGTATTTGATAAATTTGAAGATATTTATAAACTCCATGAACACGTCTAATTCGCCGAAGTGGCACATTTAAATTTTGGGACGCTTTTGTTTTTTACGTGGAAATATGTCACATTCAGCTGCTTAAAGAACATATGTTATGTTTGACTTTAGGCTATCCAAACTTGGAGTTAATGTTCGAAACAAATTGAAAAGACTCATTGGGGCATTTAATGAATATTGAAAACTTGTTTGTCAGTCGTTGTTTTTATTTTTGGTTTTGAAATGCGACTATAGATCTGAGTAGTTCGTTTAATACACGAAAAAGAATATCGATTCCCACAAGAAAAACATCCATAACAAAAACCAAAAGCAAAGAACATTATTATAGAGTTCTGGCTGTAGGTGTTTGTTCTTGAATATCTTTAAAACTAACTGGGATGGTCATTGAAAATGTCCTATTATTGGGAAAGTTTCAAATACAAAAAATCAACGAGGAAATGTCTAGAATGTATCTGATCAGTTTAAAACACCAGGTCATCAGTAGACATTTCTAGATATTGCTATAACGACCAAAACGTTATTAAATTTCAATTTTATTTTAAAGAATATTTCATATAATATGCGAGAATGCTGAATTTTCATAAAGATATTTATTTATCTTATGAGTAAACTCCTTCATCAAGTAAGACGACTTCTGGTTAAATTAGTGAATTAAAAATATAAATTCTATTTGCCAACTTTGTTTATTTAAAATTAATGTTTATGTTTTTTATTCCCCACCCCAAGTTAATAACGTGACAAGAGGATTACATTAAATTTACCGTTTTAAAATCAACAATGTATTAGCTTTTTTCGCCTTTCTAGAAACGTGTAACATTGAAAAATTATGACTATCCAAACGATTAAGTAATTAGATATTAATTTACTTGCAATTATCGTTTTAAAAGAACCTCATACATACCATTTCCTTATATAGATCCTTCTAAGTTTCTTTTTAGAACATCAAGAAGACAAGGTTTTAAAGAAAAGTTTACGTAACTTTTTTTTTCAAAGGACAATATTGTACAAATAAAGTGAGTAAAAATACAACTTAGCAGATTTTGATATAAGCTGTATTATAAAATAGGTATAAATCTAAAGTCAAAGTGACATTGTCAATTAGAGAAACAACTTTTAAAGCGATTAATAAGATATTAATATTTTGAGAATACATTTCGTCTTTTGAACATCAAAGTGGGCCAGTGAAGCCTGTCGGTTTCCATAATATCAAAAGGTTTGATTCAAAACGAGTAACCACTGATAAGGTCATTGCATACTTACATCCTGAATTCCAACACCTAAAGTCACTAGCATTTTTAAATTCAAAATATCAGTTCACATAAAGAACCGTTTAGTTTACATCATGTCAGTTTCCTTGTGTGCAATTCGGGGGTTTGGATGGCCGAATGGTTAGCACGCGCGCTGTATCATAAAGCCTGTCATTGAGTCAACTGGCGTGGTTTCGAATCCCCGGTTGTACGTGACAAGGAGTAGGGTCGCCTGTCCAACCTCGTGGGTTTTCTCCGGGTCCTCCGGTTTCCTCTCACTGCTAAAGACCCCTACGCGCAAGCGAATTATTGAAATAAAAATAAACCATATGTTAGTCCCGAAATGACCTAGTTTGTGTCGGGTGGACGTTAAACCCCATTTCTCTCTCTCTCTCTCTCTCTCTCTCTCTTGTCTGCAATTCATCAACTTCTTTCGAATTTCTTTGAATTTTAGCAGAAATCGTTACTAATTAGCCAGGCTTTCTCGACCAAAGATGTCACAACTCTTATAAAATACAAATCATGTTTATAAACAGTACGCAATTCTATGAAATACAATTACTGTTTACAAACACTACACAATGAAATACAATTACTGTTTACAAACACTACAAAATTATGTGAAATAATTACTGTTTATAAAGACTAAACAATTCTTTGGAATATTGTTACAGTTTATTAATAAGACACAAGTGTATGTAATACAATAAAATTAGTTTATTAATAAGACACAAGTCAATGGAATCCATTTCCTGTTTATAAAAAAAACGGCATATATTCAGTTCAATTACTAAATGCAATTGAAATAGTTTCTCTTCTCATTAGTTGGGGAAACCCAAACCATGAAACCAACATAATTAGATAGTTGACTAAATGGTGATATCATACGGTCTGTCATTGAGTCAACTGGCGGGGTTTCGATTCCCCGGTTGTACGTGACAAGGAGTAGGGTCGCCTGTCCAACCTCGTGGGTTTTCTCCGGGTCCTCCGGTTTCCTCACACTGCTAAAGACCCTACGCGGAAGCGAATTATTAAAATAAAATTGAACCATGTGTTAGTCCCGAAATGACCTAGTTTGTGTCGAGTGGACGTTAAACCCCATTTCTCTCTCTCTCTCTCTGAATGGTAATCAAATATATTTTATTACATTTTACCCCCAGATCCATTCACTTGATTTGATATAATATATTATGTTAGTTGTTTATTGTTTGAAATGTCTTGTCCATGGGTTTGTCTTGTTTAATTGTCTATGCATGGTGCGACCCTCATGCACAAAAGATAACATAACTAACATTTTTACACGAATTTATGCCTGAATTATATACGTGTATGTATCTTATGATTTTATCTTGCCTTTTATAATGTCATGAACAATAATATATATATATATATAAACAGTCACATGATTGAGTCAAATGGCGGTCTTTACCTTCGATACTTACACGGCCTTGCTTCTAACATTTACCGACTTTATTCAGCCTGAGAGATGTTTTACAAGAGTATGAATAGTTCAACTTGGCTCTCATCAAGACGAACTTGGCAAATAAACTTAATCTAGTTTTGATACTTTTACACAATCTGCCCTTTTATAAACAAAACATAGGCTTGAACATGAACCACGTTCGATACATGTCTTAGTAATGACGTCGATTGATGACATGCATACCCATCAACCAATTCCCTGTAATGGTATTTATTTCGGTATAAAATGACAAACAGCTACACATTTTAGACCTCAGAAAAAGCACCATTTAACATGAATAATGCCATGTTCAAATTTTGCTCAACTTTTATTTAAGTGTCAATTAGTAACATCATAAATAAAGGAGGAGTATTCAGGGAACAGTAAGTATGGCATATAGTTTTCTTCTAGGAACACATATTATGTCCAGAGCAGTGGTAACGAGTATCATCTCCTAACTAATCATTGCCGCACTTTATAGCCATTATGGAAGGTTTGGGTGGTCGAGTGGTCTAACTTGTGCGCTTTAGATCTTAAGATCTGTCATTGAGTCAATTGTCGTGGTTTTCAAAGCTTGTATGCGACAAGGAGTATGATCGTCTGCCCGACCTCGTGGGTTCTCCCGGGTCCTCCGGTTTCCTCCTACTCCTAAAGAACCCTACGCGAAAGCGAATTATTGAAATAAAATTGAACCATAGGGTATTTCCGAGATGACATAGTTTGAGGTGAGTAGGCATTACACCACATTTCCCTCTTTCTATTTCGATTACTACATAAGGTTCTCTTACCGACGAATCAAAACGTATAACACCATAAAACACAGTTTTCGGATACGTATAGTTCATTTCAGGTCTATCGACATGAGAAGAGAAATTGAGAGTTAGAATGTCGATGCGACTGTTCCAAGTCGTAAAAATATGTGCAGGGGGCGTGGCTACGACTCCAAGAGAAAGTCTGTGTTCGTGATTGACCTATCTCTAATTTGACGTCGTAACGAACTATCTAATCATAAAAAACAATCTATCATAATACGTAAATGAAAATGAAATGAAATGGGGTTTAACGTCCTACTGTTCTTCTCCTATACTGGGCTAATGAAGACGGGCATACGCCATACAGTGTGCTATGAGGGAAATTTTGCCCGGGCAGCAGCACTATCGCCTACTCTTATATCGAATTCGAACTGCCAAGGGATCTTTTACGTGCATTCTAATGTATACACGGGACCTCGGTTATTCGTCTCATCCGAAAGACTAGACAGCTGTCCTTGTCAGGCCCCCCGTTCTGCACCACTGACAAGGGGATCATAATACGTATAGTTATTGATCTGACAATGGTCGTTGCCAATTTTTCCCAAATATGCTGGGGACATTGCTTACTAATGATTCACGGAAGACATTTTTCGAGTCGATCAGCAACTCCGAATACACACCATCCTCTGTAGTCCACCATTTGGACCAATATTGACCAATCATGGTAATACACCTTATAAAGAATTGCCAAATTGTTAGTAAAATAATTTTAATTAATATTCTATGACCCTGGGGGCTCTGCGAGTAAGTCGCCGGCCCACTAACATAAATGTCTGGGGTTCGATCCGGGTGTTGACCCAGAAAGCTCCCCGGGATTTTCCGACGTGATTTCCCTTGTCAGTGGTGCAGGGGTGGCAAAGAACAATGTCTAGGTGCTTGCGTGGGACGAAACACCGAGGTACATTGTACACGTTGGCGTGTACGGTCTAATTTAATTGCTGTCCGAGCAAAATTTCCCTCATAGCACACTGCATGGCGTATGCATGACACTATTAGATCTTGGATCCCAGTTTTTCATTTCCATATCCAAAATGAATTGATTAGATTAAAATGCCTACACGTAATTTAACGCCCTCTCAGCCAAACTTAGTAATTTTGGAACTAAGAGATGGTACACTTTTGTTTCAATAATTGGCTTGCAAATAGGTGTTCTAAGACCCAGAGACAACCCATGAGGTTAAATAGGATCGAAACCACGCCACATGACTCATTGACAGATCTTATGATCTAAAGCGCATCCCCACCCCCACCACATGTTAATACCATAGACAGGATTTTCAACGCACTGGCTTTGGTTAGAAAAAAGACTGTGCTTGGCAAATACTCGTAATGAAATGGCAAGGAAAATCCTGCTATTGACCTACGCCGGATGATCGCAAATCTTCGAGATGTTTAACACATAGGTACATCGGAACATATACTTAAACGGATTTAAACCCTTTCTGTTACTAATGCCAAAATGGACGTTTCTACGAATAGGTCAGTTGTGCCATTTCGTGAAACACGGGTAAATAATTGGGCAACAAGCAATCTGTTAGCTTAAGATTCAGTGGGTAATCGTTAATTCTGTTTGGTGGGAAATTCGTGGGTACATCTCTTATGGGGATTTAAACCTATTCTGTTAGTTAAGCCAAGCTGGGCGGTTCATGGTGTAGGTCAGTTGCGCCATTTCGTGAAACAAGAGCAAATAATTGGGCAACAAGCGGCTTGTTAGCTTAGGATTCGGTTGGTAATCGTTAAATCTGTTGGGTAGGAAACACCCCGGATGGATGGCACAGACTGCAAATACGACTGATCGTACTTGGCTATAGTATCCTTTGTTGTAGCTTTCAGATAATGCAAAATAACTGCAAATAAAATATTATATTGTGTATTTAAGTGATGCGAATTATGGTTAATCAGAGTTGCAGTAATGTCTGGTTACGTGTTTGACCCCGGGAAGGCCTCGTGGGCTCACTGCCGCAACACAACCCCGCACGGAACTCGTAGAAGAGTTTACGCGAGCGCTATTATACGACCTAACGTCTTCACACCCGCGTCGTACTAAAGAAGGAATTATCACTATTAGGGAACTCCAAAAATGACCCAGGTAAAAGCCATTCCACAACTGAATGTAACCAACGAACTTTGTGACAACTGGCTAATCTCCTTAAAGATTAACGAACATAATCTCATAGACAAAAGAAGAAAGGGCTTCATAAACTCTTTTCTAAAAAGTTAAACCATGAGCTCATCTATTTTGAAACCCGATTCTAGTCCTGATAACTGCATTGCTTTAGAAGGGGTATTTTAACAAAAGTGACACAGTTTCATCTGAGTGTTAGTGTGTTGGCTTTTGCGATAGTAAACATTGCAGAGCAAACACACACATAACATCATGTTCAACTCGAATCTATCTAATGACATTACTGACATTCAGTCCATTTTAACAAACGGTAAAATAATATACAACTCTTCCAATTATACAGAACTTCCTTGTAACTATCAATAGCTGAACAGCTATTAGTATTTTAAAGGCACGAAAATAAATATGGTTTGGAAATCCATAAGACTATTTGAAGGCTTTAGATGTAAATAGAACGATACTCTTCCGGTCAAACGATATCATGCATAGTGTTATTGTTTAAATACATTACTACGCAATATTGTTTTTAAAAATACAATTCTATACAATAGTTTTCACTTTAGTGACCCATATTTCTGTGGTCTACGATGTCCCCTGTTGTCTCCAGTAGAGTAAAGAGATGGGTCTACTTTTAGTTTGATTTTGAGCGGATTGTTATGTTTACCAAGTTGCCGGGTGAATCATTATGTAATTTCTCCGCAAGTTCCATTCTATTGCAATCCCGTTAGTTACTGCTGCTGAAGTGTGACTTATTGGGAAGCGTAAAATGTTATATTCTCTTCCATCGAACTTCTATGAATGCCAACTAGCCATCAGTTAATATATATATAAAACCTACATTTAAAACTGAGTTGGAATATTAAAGCTTTTTAACGTTAGCAAAACTACTTTTATAAATCGATAGGTGTTAAATCACAACACAGTGTAGTTCTGGTTTACTACCAATCTTGCTAAATATATTTTGTTAGAGACTTAAAGGCACAAAATTGAAAAATATAGCGTGCACAAAAAGTGGTCCAAAAATTATTAATTTTAATCAAACCTAATTTCAAACTACTGTACTTGCTTTTAAATTCAGGCTGTCATCTTTCTTGTTATTAAACGCCTGTGGGACAGTTCATTTCCATCTAATGGGAAGTAAACCCGAGATCCACCAATGTACGTTATGTCGTGCACGGTAAAGAACCCTTGGCAGTTGGAATTCGACGAGACTCCTCTGTCCAGGTAAAGTCTCCCTACATACAAAAAATAAACGTATGTAAGCCTCAAAATGACTAATGTATTATTTTATCGAGATGTTAAACACAATTCTTTTCGTAGATGATATTTGTTTCGTCAGAAAGCCTTGATCGCCTGAATCAAGCAAAAATGGCTAATTGTTGGTAGGTGTAACTTAGAGTAACATATTTACAACAGACACGATTTCACAGCTAGAGGCAAGTAGTTATGGTAATAATGTGACGAATCGCACCTTTATTGCCTGACAAAATGACTGAGTTAATCCTCTCATCAGGTATAATTAGGTTACTGATCATTGTGTATCTCGGAGGGTGATAATAGGTGGAGTTGCTAAATATCCCGCACTTTGTTGATCTTTGTGCACACGAAAATAAATGTAACGGTAAAGGGAGCAGATAATGACATGGTATTGGGCAATACAAATCTCCTGATATAACCAACGCAGATGTCACGACAACGTGAGGATTATTAATAAGTTTTTCTTTTAAAAAAATAATTTAAAGACATTGACGAACATTGCAAGGGATACCAGGAGTTCTAAGATTAATAGAGGCAATCCTGACACATGCCCTTTACCAGCAGCTAAATTCTCCTATATTTAAATCAAACGATGTTCCATTTATGAAAATCAAGATTATATTTTAAAAAACAATTTAAAAAAAAAAGAAAAAAAAAGAATTGTATTCTGTATTTTTATTACAAAAATACGCAATATGAATGAATCAAAGGGATGTTTAAAAATCAAAATATTGTTATTTATTTTTTAATAATTATCACGTACAGTAATATCACTTTGACATATCGTAAAGAGTTGTCACGAGTATAGGCAGTTTTAACTACCAATGTTTGCCAGATATGTGATAATGAACAGGGCAATGTCGTAATACCCAGCTGTAAAAGATAATAATCTTAAGTTGGACTAATAGGGTAATTGCTGTTGATAAATTTTAATAGAAAAAAATATAATATTAGTAAAATAACATCTTGTTAGATCCAAATAATACTGCAAAACCATCAAGGTCCTTTCTTGTATCTCTTGCGTAGAGAATGGTGTTCAACAAGGTTCCGCTCAAGTGTCTCTACGACGTTTTACTGAAAACTAATTACTATAACCGGTAAGTATTATGCTGTGTATCGCCATTGGAATATACTAGTTGCTATTTTTCAAATGATTTTCGTTTTTTTTATTTACAGGTAGAAATAGACCATCTAAATGTTGACCCCAGGCTGTTTTAATCTCTACAATTGTTTTATTGTAGTCCTGCTATGCACTGGTAAGAGTTTTATGTCGTTCAAAATACTCCTGCTATAGTTAACATCCCTCTCATTCAAAAACTCGGCGTATCTACTGGCATTCAAATCTGGTTTTAATTTTGAAGGGCTTAATAGTGTAAACACACAGGGTAATTAAAATGCAGCATATGCCATTTCTGTGTAATTGAATACAAAGATATTTGATGTAATGGTAGTGCAGGGATTGATAAGACAGAGTAAAGCTAACACGAGCAATGTTTTGCATAGTAAACTTTATTCTTCTAAAGGAATATACTAACATTTGGCCATTATACTTGATCTGCAGGCAGTTAACGTAGTGTCTGTGGTCCGTGCACACTCCCCATTGCAAATAATTTCCACTTCTATGTACTTGCTTGAAAACTCAAAGAAAATACCCACCGAAACGTCGCCCAACAGAATGAGTAATTAAACTTCCATAAGTATGTTTAATACCTTACTCAGGTACAAAATGTCTCTAAAGGATTATGATTTCAATGTCATTAAACAATCATTATTGAAATATATGTGAACATTTTCTAACCGTTCATTTCATTAAACGCTGTTTATTTTTCTTGCAGCTCAAGCATTTCGCAGGGTCTGTTATTTTACCAACTGGTCTTGTGATCTCTTGGAACCGGCGGCTCATTTTTGTATAAGTGATATAGACCCCGCTTATTGTTCGCATTTAATTTACGCTTTCGCAAATATAAACACTACAACTTTAGAACTATCACCCACACGTCCTGATGATATTGGTTTAAAAGGTGGAATACCGCGCTACCAGAAATTCAACGACTTTAAGTTACAATATCCTGAACTAAAAACTCTTTTATCTGTTGGTGGATCTCTACAGCAGAGTCTCGGCTTTTCAAAAGTAGTTGAAAGTGCCCGTTCCAGAACAGATTTTTCACAGCGTGCAGTTGAATATTTACGGAAGTGGAACTTCGATGGCCTTGACCTTGATTGGGAATATCCCGGCGATCCTCCGGCAACCAAGCGAAATTATACATTGCTTCTACATGTAAGTTACTAAATAACTAAACAAGTACTTGGGTTGAATTCTTGTAAAAAATTTATTAACACCAGTTATCTTTTATGATACTTTATTGCCTGTTGACCGCCCTTTTCAATTTAACTCATTAGACTGTATTTTGCCTGTTATTTATGATTTATAGTGAAATACTGTACTGTTATCTACAGGTTTTGTGTGTGTGTGTGTTTGTGTCTATAGAGTAAAACCCACCCCACCCACCCTCCGGATCGTAAACTAATAAGAACTATTGTTTACAGCTTTTGGGTAAAATTGCTATTTATTTCAGGATCTCCGGCTACAATTCGCCGACGAGGCCAGAAAGTCTGGTAGGGAGAGACTTCTCTTATCAATAGCTGCCCCCGTTAGTCCAGAAAAACGGGAGAAGGGTTTCCAGGTAGAAAATGTTGCAAGGTAGTTTTACTTTTTCATCTGTATTAAAGAGTATGGGGGGTATGGAGCAGTTTTAAAATAGTACCCAAAATAACTAAGGAAAGAGCTGGCTTGTAGTAAGAAGTTAACATAATTTCATTACCTTTTAACCCCAGACCCATAAAGATGACAGTATGAAATCAATAGCAACGAATAGAATTTAAATGGATTATAAATGGTTTCAAAACTTAGTACCCAAAATAACTAAGGAAAGAGCTGGCTTGTAGTAAGAAGTTAACATAATTTCATTACCTTTTAACCCCAGACCCATAAAGATGACAGTATGAAATCAATAGCAACGAATAGAATTTAAATGGATTATAAATGGTTTCAAAACTTACAGTCTGTAAAACGGATACCAGGTCGTGTTTTCATCATTTGTTATTACTTATTTCTTCACAGAGAAGTTGATTTTATAAATTTAATGGCTTATGATTTCTTTGGTGGTTGGAACAAGATAGCTGGTTTTAATAGTCCACTGTTTGGACGTAATTCTGATCCAAGATTTTCACCAATGATGAATGTGGTATGTACAATATTTAATACATATTCCGCAAAAACACCAATAACAATTCTTGCCAATCATTTTGAAAAGATTAGAAAAATGTCACCTTAAATACAATGGCTTATGTATTTTACATATTGCTACTTATTCAAGGATCATATATTTTCAGAAGTAGGCAGTTTATATCACAATTGAAGCTAAATTATGGAAATAATTATATCAAAGCGAATATGTAATCGTATATATTATGTATATGCTTTGTTACATAGTAGTGCTATTAACATTGAGATGTGGAATATTCGCAGGAAAACAGAGTACACTTCAGGTATAATAGGTTTACCACCTAGAAAACATAGATATGTACAGAATAAGACACATTATTATAGGGTACTGTACGCTATACATACCTATAGGGCTAGACCACAAGGCCTACTCACCGAGCCATTATCCTGCTACAGAAACTGAAGTCCAAGTCTTAAAATACTATATTATAAGGTTCATAAGGAGTGCATTAATGTATCTAGAAAAACTTCATTTAATTACCGGTCTCATATGCATATCGTATTTTTATTACATGTAAATACAAAGGAGATTATATATCATCTTTATCGGATGCCATTGACTAAAATGACTTGTTGTACGGATGGTTTATAGGGGTTTTTAAAAAATGTCAGCATTAGTCACAGTATATTCTGTTGTACTAATATCTAACAAACCTCTGACGCCAATCTGTTCAATCCAATTTACCAGAGTAAAATCAGATCACTATTAAGGAATACTGATTGAATAAACACATCAGTAGAATTTGCCATTTCGAATCCCTGCACGTGTGATATTTTCAAGTCCATCGTCCACCGAATTATTATGTTGCCGAGACACCAAACCTACTGTCCTGCTCCGTCTGGGTTAACGAAGACGGGCATACACCATACAGTGTACTATGAGGGACATTTTGCCACTGCCAAGGGATCTTTTACGGGCATGCTAATGTAAACACGGGACCTCGGTTTTTCGTCCCATTTGAACAACTAGACAGCTGTCCTTATCATGCCCCCCCCCGTCCTGCACCACTGGCAAGGGAAAACCATGTAATATACCGATGAAATTCTCGGACAGTGCAAGGATCGAACACCCGACCCCTGGGCTAGCGAGCCAGCGTCTTACCCACTTTGTCACAGTCACCGTGGTTCCTTATAACAGGGAATTTAAAGTTGTTCTGTTTATATATTATTTAACAGGAATGGACAGTAAATCAGTGGATATTAAACGGAGCTGACAGACAGAAATTAACAGTTGGAATAGCAGGGTATGGTGTTGGGTATACTCTTACCAATGATACTAACTATGCCGTTGGTGCCAAGGTTGTGGGTCCTGGAGAAAAAGGTCCATACCGACATATGGAAGGACAGTTAGCATATTATGAGGTGAGCTTTCAATAGATTTCTGTCAAGGGGATATGTCACCCGGGTCGATAAGCTTTTGATAACAGTACTACGTCAATTGTCTGTGTTTTCTGAATTTCACATAGTGGTACAAGACGGGTATTGACCATATAAATTGAATAAGTCAATAATGGCACATATCTGTCACTACAAGGCATGGGGGTATAGCTAATAGAAAAGGAGACCTCGTATAGGTACTATCATGTGACATATGTATATAGTGACTTAATTTGTTTAATCAGCGTGCTCAAAATCGGTTATTTATAATTTACCTGCCTACATGTATGATTACATTACTTTATTTTTATAGATATGTGAATTGTTTGAAAATGCAACATATAAATGGGACCCGGTGCAGAAATCACCTTACGCTTATATAGAAGACCAATGGGTTGGATTTGACAATAATAGAAGTGTTGCAGAAAAGGTAGGTGTCTTCTCAAAGTTGTTGTTAGACCTTACTGTAGTGTAAATCTAAAAATTGTAAAAGACATGAAAGTATGGTCCGATATTAAGAAGGAGTTTCCTTTTAGTTTCGATCATCTACAAATATTACCCTCGCCAATAATTGCGAAGTTGTTATAAGATGACCCAAAGGAGGTAAACGTGCATTTGAACAATGAACATTAAACTACTAATATATTATCTTTAATTGTTTCTATTTTTTAAAAGAAATGTTGGTGATATTCATACACGTCTGTTTTAGGTGAATTGGATGGTACTTCAGAACTTGGGTGGAGTAATGCTATGGTCCTTGGATCTGGATGATTTTAAAGGAACGTTCTGTAAAAATGGGAAATTTCCATTACTAAAATCAATCCATGAAGCTGTTGCCAAACACTTCCCAGAGATAATCATAACCACAACGACACCGACAACAATAACGACAACAGAGGATACTACCACTATGCCTACAACGATCAGCACAACAACGACGGAATCAACAACTACTATGACTTCCGAGATACCAACCGGAAACGACGTATTGCCAAGATCGACAACTCCAAATGTTAAAACTACAAAGGATATGGGAGAAATTGACAACAGACCTGATTGGGAACCAATTAACACTAAACCTCCTTACGAGGACAATAAAACTAGCGATGAAGATGAAATTGACGATAGATTTGATGAACGTGAAAACATGATTGACGATAAAATAAAACGTCAACCCGTAGCCGCTAAGTCGGGTTCAAATGAATTGGTTCTATCAAGTTTCTGTTTTGGAGCTGTGTTTGGAATATGGACGTTAACAAAATAGACACTTCAGTGTTCAGAGACATGTTTTAAACATACTAGTAAGTTATTTCTTTCGTGATCTTTAGGAAATGTGAATTTCGCCCAATCAGTGACTATCAAACTGGATTTTTTGTTTAATAATATAATGATCTATATTTTATTAATAGCCTAGAATACTCCATACGTTTTAGCGATATAATTTTGCAATTTTAACGTTCAGTAAAATACATCTTAGTGCGAACATGCTTGCTCACAAGTTCGAACATGATAATCGCAGGATGGGGCAACTGCAGGATCCGGGATATTATATAAAAACATCATTGCAAATTAATATATTTGTCTTGAATATTATACGTAACAAACTGTGTAATGTAAACATTAAATGGCGAACTTGTCAGATTGGATTTATTATTTATTATAGTGATCTACATATTATAAATACACCATGCGTTATAGAGGTAAATTAAAATTTTAACTTTCAGTGAAATTATATCTTTATACATGCAGGATTGCTCACACTTTCGATATCAAGTAGACTGATCTGATTGTCTCGTCATCAACAAAATAATTACCAGTGTGCACTCGCCTTGAAGTCAGCTATCCTTGTATTAGACGTGTTAGACGCGTGTAATTCAACATCTTATCTTCTCGGCTTATATACACGTTCAAATCGTAATAATTATATTTTAAATCTTTTTAAAGGCCCTGTAAAATGCCAATAAATAAATATTAATACATGCATATATGAAACAGCTGATACGAAATATACACAATAGAAATAATTATTTTAAATCCTTCTGCCACCCACTCTATTGGAGCCGTTTAAAGTACCAGGTCCAGTCACATCTACCAGCATATGTAATATATGTACACAGCAGTATGATCATTTGTCGAGTGTATAATCCAATAATAATTCATACCACACCCGTTTACTCTCAATGGTTGCAAGTCACATTATTGGGGAACCAAAAATTACGACACCATATCAAGTTCCATTGACCCCATATCTATTTGAATTAAAATTGTTAGTTTAGATTTTCGCATATTAGCTTTTAAACTAACATTTAACACCTATTTTGGACATGTTCTTTTGACGTTAACAAAGTTGAGAGGTAGTATATAGAGAATTTCAGAAGATATGGCCATGCCCCCTTGGTCCTGAATATGGCTACCAATTCTATCGCCATTTGCAATGACTACTAAAGCCCACATTTATGTCATTGGTAATTCTAAACGATATTTGATGTTGGCATGCAACCAAAGAACCGTCTAGTTTAATTGGCCAATGTAAACGTTCGAACGCCTAGATTTTCTCTGAAAATAAGTGATTTAAATTTCATTGAATTGATAGTCTATTTCTTTCGATATAGCCTTAATATGGTTCCAATGATCTCGCGGGATCACCCGGTCTACTCGTCAGATGTTTTAATACATGGGCCCCAACATAGGCCGATATATTGTACAGTTTCAATATAATAAATTAAGAAAAAAACATGATGATTTATATTGATTCGCTGCTAAAGCGGTTTAGGTTTTTCCCATCTGGTCTCATAACAAATACTAATATGTAAAAATGTATAGAAGGTGAAGGTCATTTAATATATCTTTAACTTTTCTCTTTATCTAAGTATGTTTATGTCCATGCTTTATCTAAGTATGTCCATGCTTTACTTGTGAACATTCTAGTCATTGTATCATAAAATATTTGTCTGTAACTAAAACCGTTGGTTCTACAATAAATAACATGTAATGAAATGAAAAATCCCTTTTGTTTTAATTTCAGATTTAATGTAGACTCATATTGTTGTCATTTGCATCCGACATTCGTTAACAATTTTTATAAAATTTTATAGGATAGATGTGCTTACGGAATTTGTATCTTATTTTTCATGCCGTCCAAGTTTTCTGTCTGAAATTTCGGAGTTATCTTCCCTTGTATGTGCGAATTCTGGACTAGAAAACATTATCCAAATTAAGAAAGTTTAGATATTCTTATCTACCGGAAGACGGGACAGCGTCACTGGTTTTCTCTCTGAAACTTGGGATTGCTCATCTTGTCACAAAGAGTACCGTTATGAAAATTACTTCACAAATCTAACTCGCTACTGTTTTATGGTTATAGGTTATTATAGCAGGGAAGCTTTATCTGGGTGGGATCTACTAGACCACAACTCTTCATATATTATAACTCTTTTACACACCCGCGTCATGCTTTTTGGACACATACGTTATATTCTGTGATCTAAGACACACTTCCGCCCCAACCGGCTTTTCTACACAAACTTCAGTACGAATATAAAGCTGTTTTAGGCACTGGGTGGGTTACAATTTTCAAACCCACTGGATCGTCAGTTGAGAAATTTTGAATCCCTTGCAAAAACTATGATTTCAACCTGATAGTATCAAAGTCTATAACTGATTCACCGTTGATATGTTTTCTATTGTTTTCTTAATTAATTTGTTTTAGTGTGGATTACACCATAACAAATTAGTTATTGTTTGAAAAATACAAATGACATCAAGCGGAATGATCTTAAAATTCAAAAATTTGCACTACTTTCATGTAAAGATTGTTGTTGGGTAATTAAACACCTCCGAGTAGACTAAAACCTTCACGAAAAATATTTTGTGGAAATTCTGTGGTGAAAAGAATCCCAACAAAGAACAAAAACGCCCATCAAAGTTAATTGAAGTCGACAATGTTGTCCACGCAGATATATAAAGGATTTAAATATGTCTAAATATATGTTGTGGAACTCCTGGTGGTCTGCTGAAAACACCCCTGAATATAAACGTTCATAAAAATTATTGTAATTCGAATAGAATCCGGAAAGTAGTAACACTCACAGTCATAATGTGCTGGGAAAAGATTAACATTGAAGTCAATGGGACGGGAATTACTTACCGATAAAGGGGGACAACTCCTATTTTGAGATCTCAATAATGTACACATTCATAGTTTATGAAGACGTATACACACTCTTGTCGTTTGTACACTTTAGTCCGATTTTGGCCGAAAAAGTTTCTTGGGGTCTTCCATATTGGTTCCTCCTTGTCAGTATTTTAAATTTCGCTATCTATGCTCAGAATTCGGGATCTACTTTAACGTGCCTACAGGAACGAACGTGCCTCTGGATAAAAAATCCGTGCTTTGAAAATCTGGAAATCCGTGCTTTGAATAAAAATCATGTAGCCTTGTGAATCTGGCAATATTGTATGGGGAAAACTTAGCTATCATCGACCACTTTCGACTTCTGTTTGAAACATTATGTATTATTGACGTATTCCCACCACCACCTAAAACACGAACATCGTCAGGTGCAGGTGACAGTGAAGGTTTGTTTTCCTTTGAATCAACGTTTGGTGTTCCTTTGGACTGTTAATGATACTGACACGCGGTTATAAATATAGATATATTAATTCTGTTATAATATGGTTATAAAAGTGTAAGCCGTGATATCGTGTTATCGGAAATCAAATTCTGTAAATTTTCACGGAACCACAAAACACACTGGAAACCGTCCTTCGCCAACAAAACCTTAAAATAGACTCTGTCAGAAATTAATGTTTCTGTTTTATACTGTGAGTTTATAACTCGTTAATCAGTTATAACGTGAGGAAAGAACTCGGAGAATACCTTCCTGGCCTTCCCTTCCACCCGGCACCACTAACAAGGGTAAACGCCAAGATCGGTGGAGGATCTCCTGGTTAATGAGCCTGTGCCTTATTCACTAACCACCTGGTGTGGATGACAAACACTTTAAATCATTCAGTCAATGTTTTTAAATCAGAAGTGGTAGAGAGAGGTCATATTAATTATATGCGTATTGCACAAATCAGCATGTGTGTAGGGTACAGTTTTATTTCCAGTGACACGAAACGCGGAATCTCCTACGATATCCCATGTAGATCGATTCCGCATTCATGGAAAAGTTTTGACTTTAATCAAATCTGAGGGGAATGTAGTCTTTTAAGGCTTGTAAGTGTGTGTGTGTGGGGGGGGGGGCACCATGACCCCTTTTTGTGGACATAAATTTTCATTTCTACCAATCAACCAAATGTGCACCAAGAAGTGTAATATACCATTAATTCAGAAAACAAACAAAAAGACTTTTCAATTTATTTTTAATTCTTTATTGAAACTTCATAAAAATAATCAAATATATATACATATTACACAGTTTCAATTGTCAAAGATGTGGACGACACATACATGGTTTTTGAAATGGCATTTGACAGCAATTTTAAACCAGTACCATTTATGCATCGAAAACCAATCTTATTGAAATTTACACCAATTAATATTATTAATTTGATTATACGGATAAATACAAGTAAATGACTATTTTTACACGGCGATCACATTTGCCAGTCAGCACTTGACTATTTAAATTGTTGAAGTATCATAACTGTGCGTATTAGACTAGGCGTGTTTTACCGAGGTGATCAACCCACCTCGATTTGGTACCACTTGCGCATCCTCGATCACATGACCCAATCTGACGTCATATATTTTGGCGTCATACCTACACTGTAACAAAAATTTCCGTGAAAAAACGTAAAAATTTCCGGAAACAAAAATTACCAGGAAAATTTTATCCGTATTTGTTTTTCCTGTGATTTACAGAAATTCCTTCAATTAACATAAATTCCATTTTCAAATACAGAAAAAAAAAATCCTGGTAAATTTTGTTTCCTGACCATGAAGGTGATCAAAATTTCATTGAATTAACCATTGACTTTATACGCTTGCGTGAAATAGCTTTATTTAACGTCCGCTTCCACCGAAGTGATATCGCAAATAATTTTTAAACGTAACCTCTTTTCGCTATTATAAGAATCGAGAGCAAGGTATCACAAACCGCTACTCGTCAGTGGTTGGAGGTTTTCAGATGTAAGTTTGCGGTATTATCAATTCGCAGGTATGCAGACTCTGCCATAGAGACAAACCGACTTACACTGGCCAACCGGTTGTACTATCCGGACTTTAGCGTGCTTGATTACCAGATATTACAACTTTAACTTCCGCAGCATTAAAACATACTTTTACATATTTATGAAAATACTTACAATCTGATTACCGTATGATGAATAACAATACACTTTATAGATCTTATAAATAATGGAAATTAGATATACATGTCAATTAATATACCAAACTTTACAAAATATGATTCTTCATATTATGGTTAATAAATTGAAATGAATACTATAACATGATGATTATTAGGAATGATTATATATGTATATGATTACTTATCGTTGCACCGTTTATCCCGTAAAACAACAGAATTAAGTCCATTACAGAACGGAATAAAACATTTTATCCCTAAATTTCACGGAACTTCCTTGTCATTCCACCGTTTATTCCGTAAAATAACAGAATTAAGTCCGTTATAGAAGGGAATAAAACATTTTATCCCTAAATTTCACGGAAATTTCCTGTTTAATACTGAATATTCCACAGAAATACATAAAACACGTAATTTGAATAAATAATTCAGACAATTAACACCATTTCTCCAAAAAATCCATCGATTAACAGAAAAAAGGTGTTAAATTACGGAATTCGGCCACATAAAAAATTGATATTTTTTACAGTGTAGGGGACTGTGACTTCAGATGGTGAGAAGGGAGGTATATAAACAATTTGACGCATTGACATGATGTGACTATAAAAGATTTTTTTCTTGTAATTTTCGATAGGTTTATGAATTGGGGCAATTTCTCATAAATTTCCGATAAAAATATTTTGTATTTACACTAAAAAATATCATCTTTTTTTTATCAATACATGAAAATAATAATAATAATAAAAAAAATATAGATTTATTGTGTAAGTTATTATGTAAAGAAAAGAAAATGAAATAGACATTTGTAGTACTACATATATGCATGTAATGATTCAAAGTTACTAAAAAGTGATATGTAACTTATATTCGATGTTTTGTAACAATAAAAGTTCAGAGAACAGTCGCTCTAACCGCGAACAATCACCCACTAATATCGATGCAACGAACAGCACCCAAACCCCCAGTTACCCACCAACTTACAAAAACCATGGTTAGTAAATTATATGTTATAATATATCATTTTATATACATACTTAAGTAACCCCCATTTTAAATTCTTCCATATACAATTATTTATCATCTATTTACAAATTTGTTGTATATATTGTGCAGTTTGCAATCGCATTAAATTACTTTACAAATTTATGCCTGGGTACGAATGAACGTTGATTGTCTTTTTTTTAAAAATTAAATATATTTGCAGTAGAATAAGCTTATCACAATTTTGTATCGAATCCTTTGTTATCAAAGCCATTTGATTTTCTGTTTATTACATCCTTTTCGTCAGAAAGATAGAAGTTGGGTTTTTTCTCACTTGTTCCTATTATCGAACCTTTTCCGTTACTGTTGATATTTTTAAATCCTGGACTGGTATCATTTTTCAAGATGGCTTCCTGAAAATACAAGCGATAAAATTCATTAAGTCAGCTGCACATTGTGGGGCATTAAAGGGGGTAGCTGTAGTTTAGTGAGTAAGGCGTTGGCTCGCTAGCCTGGGGGTCCCGTGTCGGTGATACAGTTGGGGTTGGAGCGGCTAGTCATTCGGATGGAACGGATAACCGAGATTGTTAGCGTGCACGTTAAAGAACCCGTAACACTTGGAATGCAATTGCTGTCGGCGCAAAATTTCTCTCGTAGTTCACGGCCCGTCTTCATTATCCCGGTTGGTAGAGAAATTGTAGGACGTTAAACCCAATTTCATTTACTCATTTATTTCATACCTTATCATCATTCTTTATATTCTTTTTCTTCTGCGGAAGAATATCATCTAAGTATTTTAACTCATATTGGGTGAAGAAACATTCCAGAAGTTTTCTCACAACACCAGTAAACACAACCTGAAACACAAGAAATGAGATAACTTTAATATATGCATTGTAAAATACTGTTGAAAAAGTAGATAAATTGTCTTTAGGTGGTAAGAGGTGTCGTGCAAACAGCAGCGTGTATATGTTGATAGTAGAGTACTGTGGGATTTGCTCATTAAGAACGAAATGCCACATAGCTCTAAAGATGAAGTTTAACATATACTTTGGAAAGAGTAAACATACTCTGCCTCGTACATCACACTCGTTACTACTAACGGTAAATTGTTGAGCAAATTTTTGTTAGCCCTGTGAAAGTCTGAAATAATATTAAAGGATACTTACCAACAAAGGGAAACCAATGGAAATGGATTTGATTGATTTTACAACCCAGAGAGCAATGAGGCAAACCAACTGAATAAGGGTGAAAATATGAACTCTCCATAATGGAACATGACGTAGATATCGGTGGTCGGGTTGATATTTGACTGGCATCAAGAAAAGCATAAGTCTGTCAATAAACTGAAAATATAAAATAAAGAATGTTCATTTTTGGACCTAAAACTGGAAGCCAGGCGTTCCTCGTCTTGCTGTTCTTGTTGTTCTTATTCTTTGTGAGAACGTTCTTCGAAATAGCCCAAGGCTCCGTCGATTCAAGTACGAGCGACATGGAATTGTGATTAATGATTACAAGATGGCGGCGATGACATCATGTTTGGTTCCTGGTCCATAGTACACACGTACGTGTCCTTACAAATTAAAGTTCCGCGAGTCGATAGTGTAGCTCAAATTGCTATTATCTGTCTATTGGTTTAATTTTTCTTATTTCAAATATCAAAATTCGACAATTTGAAGAAGTTAGAATTAATCTGTTTACCAATCTCAAAAGTTAGGACGACAATTCTCCGCAGGAATTAAGACCCTGTCAAATAATTATTTTTCCTATTATTCATGCCCGTACTTAAGTAAAAACAAAAAGGAAAATATAGATGTTTTGTTGGAGTTTTAAAACTTGACCATTACTTTACATAGATATTCTTACCTGCATGCCTCTCAAAGCTGAGAAACCCATATAGAAAAACACACCATACAATACAGGCATAGGAATAATCTGAAAACACAAAACAGCAATCATGTTAACATATATTTATTAAAGGACTACGCTAGGATTTCATTATTTACGACAAATCTCAGCATCCGTTAATTAATTCATCAACCATTTGTCTGAGAATGCCTCGTATTCTCAAAACTCCCAGCTCTTAATATCGATTGTAACTTAAAAAATTTACCTTAACTTAAGATATTTCATATTCATCAAACATATCCCCCGCCCCACCCCTCGATTTTAAGTTAAGTCGACTCAAAACGGACTGACAGTTGTTGCTATAAGTCGGCGTTACCTTTAAGATATTTGTGATGAAAACAGCAGCTCCAGACAAAATACCAACTAATAAGGCAGTTACTCGTTGTTCTCTGTAACATAAAACACAGCACATATTAAAACATCATGGGTGGAAATAGCACGATTCATAGTATGCGTACTCTTCTGAAACATCTAATACCACTTTCTCGTTCGTCTTTTTGTATTATTATTATTTATAACAACACTTACGGATCGGCGTTACTTTTTTTCGTATCTTAATATCGTAACGGTGATTTGGTGTCAATTCTTATGATTTTATCAACAATTCATTGTAAGCCAACCTGGCCTACTTTATTTGTGAAAAGAAAACGCACAGTACTAACCTAACACCGAGGAAAGTTGGTTTTTCGCCAGGGGCGGTGCTCTCAGATTCTTTCTTCAAACTCTGTACGTGAGCAATGGCAGATACGGTAGCGGCTACATACCATGGAAGACCGAGGAGAGAATGTGCAACAATCAAGAGGGTCAGGACCATTAAATCTAAATGATAACCTTTTCCTTTCTGTAAAAAATAAATATATCAAGTTTTAATCATAGTATGCCAGAAATGATTAGTAATTATGATTAGTAAATGATGAACGTTTTATATCCTGATATTCTACCGATTTTTACTTTTACTTTCTACATAAATCATTAACAAATAAAGAATGTGTAGCTGACAGTCTCCTTTAATAATAGATAATCATTACTATATAAAAAAAAGTGCAGCGGTTGACAGTCTCCTTTAATAATAAATAATCATTACTATATAAAAAGAAAGTGCAGCGGTTGACAGTCGCCTTTAATAATAGATAATCATTAAAATATATAAAGAAAGTGTAGCAGTTGGTAGTCCCATTTTATTCTTTAAAAAAAATCCTTCACGAGCAGTTCAATATCTTTAAGCAATATAATAACCATGCTTTCTCACCTTCAGTTTATTTTCCTTTCTGTTGACAATAACGGCTGTGATCTGTTGATCCATGAAGATAAGGATGGTAGCTAGAATGGCAGGTACACCAGCAGCGAGGGCAGTCCACCAAGGATTCTTTTCACTGACTGGGTTAATAAACCAACCTCTATCTGAACGAGTAGGCTGAAGATGAAATGAATTCAAAGTCATCAATATGTCTAGAGCTTGGACGGACCATTAATGCAACACTGCTATATGTAAGAAACATGCCATGTAACGTTTACACCATTTAACCTTAACCATAACCAAACGACCTATCAGTCTTTTGCATCTCCATAGATCAAAGCATTCAATACTTTCGAATATTTTAGCAACACAATTGGCTAAAATGCAAAAATATAACTCAACACACAGTCGACGAACTGGAACATTTTTTTTTTATCTGCGATAATACTCTAGATTGAGGGGACATTAACCCCTATCATACTGTTTCTACCACAAATTTAATCTAGTAGCAGCTTTAATTTCCAAATTAAAGCACTGATCTAAATGACTAAGAATAAATATGCATGGACTCTATTTCTATAGACTTACCTTGAACTCTTCTGGAACAAGTAATTTTGGTGTTGGAAGACCAAGGGCAACATCGATACCAACCATGACAACAATAGCAATCAATACACCAAAATCACTCAACAATTGTCGTGTCTAAAAATAAATAAACACTAGAAATATGGTGAACTTTGTAAGGTGGGTTAAGATACTATTAATGTGTTGGACCTCTCTCAATTTAAATCAAATATATAATTGTTGATTTATGTTTTTTTTATACCTAAATCAATTGTGCATGTCATTAATATACAAAAAATACTTTGAACATATTTTATTGAAAAGTTTTTCCATCCCACTAAAATAAAAATGAGGAACTCAAATGTATTTAAAAAATGTAGAAAGTGTTGGATAAAGTATCTACTTACCCAGGATGGGAAGCAAGGCCATGATTTGAAGTCGATTAAGAAGATGGCAATACCGAAGGTACCAAAATACAAGAGAACAGAGAACATAAAGGCATCGGGAACATACTGGGGCACAACACAATCCCAAGTACCATTGTACAATTCACAGCTGGTTTCATTCAAAGATGGGTAGATGGATACTGTGGTGGTGGTGAGTGGCATCATGGTAGTGGTGATATTGGTATTATTTAACATGGATATGGTACCATTTAACATTGTATCGTTGATCATAGGCAGCAAATTGGTTCCACTTGTGCTTCCATTACACAAACAGCTTGGTGTTAATGGTTCATTTGGGTGTAGACGGAGGGGTGCGCCATCATGTGAGATTTCTATTAGTTTCAAGAAAGCTTCGTAGATGAAAATTAAGGCAATCAGACAAGCAAAACTCTCCTCGGTGAAACGAGTGATGTATTTGACCAAAGCACTCAGATCAAACATAACGATCAGCAACAAGAATCCTGCCGTCCAAATGCCAACCCAGCAACGGAAAGTCATGAATTCCCAGTCGTTGTCCCTGAAAGACAATATATAAATATTACTGGTCAATCTAGTCAAATATGTAGTTACTCTAGCCGTTAACGTTAATAATAACCTGGTTAGTTTCGGTATTGAGTATGTAAGAATTGATGGACAGGTGTGAGGCAGATGAAACTTACACTGTTCCGCTTGAGAACAGATACGAATCTGATTGACCGATATTTCAATACCTAAATCAATGACTTTATAATCCAAAAAATAAGTATACTTCGATAATTTTGAGAATCATTATTCATCTTCCATTAAATAGCTTTTTTTTCATATGGCGGCATGTGCATAATGGATGTAATGTTCTGTCTTTCTGCTTTTATCCCCCAAAGAGTTCCGACCATTGATGACGCAATATCTATTGGATGTGGTTGGCTGTTATATATTAATACCAATATTGCTATTTTAAATAACTATTTTATACTTACACACAGAAATTATAAATAATCTTTTCCAGTACCAGCATAGGGCCCGTACTACCCAAAATATTCATAGGTTGACCAGAAAAGACGGCAAACACTATACCAGTTACAGCCGCAGCAAAAATACACTCCATTACACCCTGTTATCATAAAACAAATGAAAGTACTGCTTTAAAAAGAGAGCTCTCAGGTGGTTAGGGATAATAAAATATTTTCATTCGGCTATAACGGCATAAGCAGTCTTTTATGTAGGAAAGCGCGATACTAATTTATATTAAGGCATGACAGACCAATGCGGCAATGACTTACCCACTCTACGTTTATTGAGGTTTTAGGTTATTCTATATAAAATGCAAATATCTATCCCATGTGGATATGTTATCGGGTGTTTCTTCACGTCAATACATCTGATAGTAATAATGCAATTGTTTGACTGGACTTAAATTTCAGAAGACGAAGCTACTAGTTACCTCGGGTCAATGACCACCAATCAGACTAATGAGTGACATAAGATATGATCATGCGCAGTTACTTACCATATATTGATCAGTTTGTATACCCAGGATGCCACCAAATGTAACATTAGGAGTTAAAGTAGCTAAGAAGATATAGACAAAAGAAGCTAGACACTGGATGTGAAGAGCATCTTTATAATCGCTTAAGTACCACGGAGCCTTCCTCTTGATGTCATCTATTAAACCTTTAAATGGTCTGAAATTAAAAAGGTGTAATTATTAAGTTTTACTCAGTGAAACGTAATTATTTTAAAGATTATGGGTAGACGATGTTTTCGAAACTGGTAGCGCAATATTGCTTGGAATATTTTGCGAGATAAGCCAGTTTTCTGGGGATAGACATTAATAAATAGCTACTAGTGGGGTTATAGTAGGTGGCTAGTCAATTTAGTATCTATATGTGTGTACTACATAATTTGACATAGTACAGTTTCTCGGGTTCCAATCATTTAAATAAATTAATACTAACCTGCCAGAAATGACAAGGGAGGGATCTGCGTGACCTTCATCTTCTGGTTCCGGTGGGGGTCTAGGAACAGAGCTAACATTTTTATCTGCAAAATTTGCAGAGGAGGCAGTTCGACGGAAATCCTAAAAAAATATAATTATATTTGTATGTTTTAAATATAGTTCACTGATATACAAATTTAAGCCAAGTGACAAGAAAGAGTTATTTAGAGGGAGCTATAGTTCTTCAGTGTGTGTGCATAGCGTGGGCCGAGAAAATTCCTCGTTTTTTTCAGGCTGGTGTTAATTTGTCAGTGGCGCAAGAAGCCTGCCAAGTAGATACAAATTAAATGTTTTTCCAATGTCCACAGTGGCATAAAGATGAGGGAATAAAATAAACATAAAGCAATGCAAACTTTAATTGACATAACTTTGCTCGATTTTAAATTCTTTAAGTTATATAGTACACGAAGTAGTAAATAATATGAACAGCCCCCTCTCAATAGTTCGAGAGCCACGGTGGCTAAGTTGGTAAGACGCTAGCCCGGCGGTCTCATGTTCGATCCCTGCATTGGCCGAGCAAGTTCATCAGGATTTTCCCACGTGGTGTCAGTGGTGCAGGACGGTGGGCCTGACAAGGACAACTGTCTAGTCGTTCGGATAGGACGATTTAACCGAGGTCCCGTGTATACATTAGCGTGCACATAAAAGATCCCCTGGCACGAATTCGATATATTAGTAGACTATAGTGCCGCTGTCCGGGCACTATTTTCCTCATAGCACACTGTATGTCATATGCCCGTCTCCATAGGAGCAGGACAGCAGGACGTTTAACCGCATTTCATTTCATTTATCTCAATTGTTCAGAATGCACCAATGGGGTGATCTCTTAAGACTGGACTAACCATGCTATGCATAACACGAGATCTGTCCAGTTCTGTAGGTTACAATGAAATCTTCTTAAATGTAACTTCTACAACTCGCAACTAACAGAGTTCGGTACCTTACCTGAGATGGCACTGCATTGGGAGGTTCAATCCTGATTTTAGGATCCCATTCGCCTGGTGGAAGCACGGTAACTTGTTCAATGAACTCATCAATACCAGCATAGAAATCTTCTTTATCCCGACATTTATAGGCCACTTCTCGGAAAATCTATAGAAAGAACAAACATTCTACAGATATCAGATTATAGTGGATTGTTTTAAACCTGTAAGTAACCACTGAACAGACTGATTTTATTACCTCCCCTTAGTTAAGGTGAATAGATCGTGGTCTTTAAATGGGATTGTATAGGGAGGTTAAACTCCCAAATAAAGTGTTTCTTAGATAAGCTTATTGATATCATGGTTTTGAAATGGTATAATAGTGTTCTTTCATCCAACTTTGATTTTCGAATGTAATGTCTAATACTGTCCTTACTGAAAATTGTGTTCGGTATTAAGTTCTAAATAAAAGTGGAAAGGCCACTTACATCATCAACAAGCATCGTTCCAATGCATCTTCCAATTTCCTGTAAATGATCGGCTTGCCCAATTGGTCCAAGTAGAATGAAAATAAAACGAGAAGGCAGTGGTACTTCACAAATATCACCAAGGATTCGGGCATCATTCAATCTGAGGAATCCACAAACTCTTTGCTCTAAGTCGTCAATTTCACCAATTAAAACGTTGGCGACTTCAGCACCACGAGGGATTTTCTTCAGGAAGCGATCGTTATGCTAAAACGAGAACAAGGAGTAATATATTTAGAAATTTATCAAGAAAATGAATATCCATTAAATGTACATTTTTCTGTAAGAAACAGTAGTTTTCTTATTAAGAAAAAAAGACGATGAAGGATAAAGGTTGTTCTAGACAGTAAAGGTGGTGTAGATTTCTGTTTTAAAGTAAACTATTGCAAAGGATAGAAAGAACAGCTGGAGAGTTGGTTCTCAAAAGCATAAACTTACCTTTTTATTAGACTCATTCTCCATACTTGAAAGACTGACGGAACTACCATGAACGTTATTTAAATTGGCTGAACTATTAACGGATGGCAAATCATTGAAATCTGTAAAAACAATATATATATATATATATATATATATATATATATATATAACATACGGTTTGTTAGCTAATGAACTATTTTATTTTGCAATAAAATGGGGTGAAAAAAACAAACGACCGTGCTACCAAGATTGCAACCAGCTAAAGAACTTCATAAGATATTTTAAAATACTGCCAAAAGTAATGATGTTTTTAATGGTGTGCAAAAGTTTAAATTTTTCAAGAAAGGCTGTGTTTTAGAGTTCAAGAAGTACTACTCATATTTCGAATTCTAAATGTCAAGGGATCTTTTACGTGAATTAATAAAAACATTGAATAGTAACCCAAGCTGTTCTCATATTTTAAAAGTAACCTAAACAGTTTCCCCATCCTAAACTAAGCAACACTTACTAGAAGAAGAAAAACCTCGAGTTAATTCAGTCTCCGTGTTCTGTCTACTGAGTCTACCCTTCTTATCGCCAGGCCTTCCTCGTTCATGTCTGTGTCTATGGTTCTTTAAACAAACGTTACGAACATGTTGGCGTATTATAGGATCCAGATTACCTGCACTAATCCATTCATCAAGAAATTTATCTGCAAACAAAAAAAGGGTAAAAGATCCAAATATTTAAAATCTATCATACTGAAAATAATTGTAATGGAATGGTCAAACCATTTAAATATGTGATAAATTGGATAACACTTAACACCAGGACAATGTTGTTGCACGTGGGCTACGAATAGTTCCCTAAAGGGTGATGTTTTCACTATCTTTATATATCTTCGCCGAATGCATACATTGTCTGTTCCGTCTGTGTTCTGTTGCACAGCTGCACTGAATTATCTATTAGAACAAAAATGTAATTTGAAAATCTATATTTACAAAAATTATACAAGACTTACCAATAACTTGGCTAATTGTATAACATTCTTCGTCTAGTAACATAGCGCTGTCTCTGATAAAACGACGGAGTTCGACTATACTGTGCATAGATAAGGATGCCACGTGAGGCTTCGACCATCTTTTACCTCCTTCTTCTACATTTTCTTCGTATTTCACCCATCTGAAGAACAAATGAGAATTAATATAATTATCGAACTGCAATTAAAAGACCCAATTTCGGTATTACCGGTGCGAATGTTTAACAAAACATTGAACCCACGAATTTGTTTATAATTTTTAAGTTCAATTACAAATTAATGAAACGAATTGCTAAAAGATTGGCGGGGTTGGGGCTCGCATTGACTTTAGGGTATGCATGTAACGTCTCAGTTTACAGTAGTCATCCCTAACAGTCCCCTTAAAGAATTCCCGGGGCTGTAGTCTAAGTAGCGAAATTATTTATTCTAGAGATTAAATAGCTATTTTATTACCGATCTAACCCCCAGGAAATCTAAACCATTTAACATGAATCCGGTAGAGAATTACATCACAACATGTTATATTAATAACTTGATCCTCATTTACAGATAACTTTTATTATATGTGGTTTTATGAGGCCAACACGCAGCAGTTTAACGATCTATTTGGCCGCCATTCTATTACTAATGATAGGTTGTTCTATAAAGCTATTGGCTAATTGGAGATTGATCGTATCATCAATGAATCATAATACATGTATAGATTACGTGTGTGATGAACGAACAGAATGGTGATTTAATTGGAGGAGAGACAGATTGATTAATCAAGATTTATTTTCTTATTTATTTTCAATTAGCGATTGAATATTATGCCTAGCCTCGACCATTATTACTAAAGTCGGTACGCTAACAAAACATAGTCTCGATTATCCAGTTTTGCATTTATTAAAATCATCATTGCGCGTTGAGCAGTAGATCGGATTTAAATCCAGTGAAAATCAGATGCATAAGACATCGAGGGTTGATTATGGTCTTTCATGTTAATAAATGTCTAATTAATAGTTTATATAACATTTCAGGCCGAAGAAAGGCTTGCAATAGGCAGATTTAGCTCTTGCATAATGTATGTTCGAAATTAAATGAATAACCAGCAATTTACTAAAATTTGACCAAAGTGTAATATTTAGCTAAGCCTGGAATATCAATGAGCATAACGGCTCGTGTATAATTCCAGGAAGATGGATTTTGTCCTGGGAGTGCCGTTTGCGCCTACAATATAAATCGAATTCCATCTTTATGTGCCATACTGTACTGCTGTCTACTAATTAGCAAGCGAAACCCTAATGTCAAGAATAGAGAGAACAAGCCTTCTAGAATCTGTGAGTAGAGGCTATTCTGAGACACAGATTACTATGAGCAACTAATGAACGAACTCTTGCATCAGAGCCACTAATGACAACGTTTCTACAATTTTCACTTGCCCCCTGGACTAATATGATCTTCAATGAGGTTGCTATAAACGTATTAATGTCATCAACTGCTGGAAATACAGATAGCCAGAGGAAGGTTATTCCGGGTCAATTTGGTGTTCTACTTCTCGCTATATTTACCCAATGTCTCACCCTTATTACGCGATATATTTGTGTGTCTCAATGACAAAGCTTTTTTTGTATTGATATTTCGAAAAGAAAATCGTGATTGTGTAAATGGGAGTTTCAAAAGCTTGAGTATGAAGGGGGTTATTTGACATCTCATCAAAAACGTGAATCACATATACAGTTTACTTATTATATAAATGCCCTAAAAATACATGTTCGTGCAAAATACTTATTTCGGAAGTTGTCTAGACGGCGACAGGTCAATTTTCATAACCATAGGAACTTTCCGACTAAAGCTCTTGCATTATGCCTAATAAAATGCGTAACGAGAATTAAATATTTTTTTACTTAGACATTGTAAAATCACCAATTATAGTCAAATAAAAGGAATGGAAGACAGCAATTCATAATTTCACATACCTGGCTATCTCTCTCCATTCATAATCCTCATTCCTTTTCTTCAAAATGTCCATTTCCACAAATACCTTTTTCGTTTTGTGTTTAGGGTCATTGACTTTATTGAGGAGATCCTGAACTCTGTCAGTTGGATCACACATGTTGTCGTCAGCTTCCTTATCTCCCCCTTCCTCGTTTATAGCTCCTGAAAAAAATAGAAATAAAACACGGTTTTAGAAATTCGGATGGTGCAGTGAGGCGTTTAAGCTTCATAATCAAGCAAACAACACTATAACCCACAGTGCCTAAAATTAACCAATGTTTATTTTCTGGCACCTAAACATTTCAATAGTGCAATCGTTAAATTTCAGATTATCCTTATAGAATCCTTTTCATGTTTACAAGAGATCACAATATAATTTTTACTACCACTAATCCTTCCCATCTCAAACAATTTTAAGATCGTCAGTATCTCAAATTTTCAATGGTATATATAACCACCCCTTCTTTAGGGCATTATGGGAGATTGGATTAAAGGCTGGCGTTCTCGCTTTTATAGCTAAAACATAGATAACATAAAGAGAATGCTGAAGATTTCAGTCAAATTGCTCCACTTTGAACAGAAATATTAGCATTGAATTTTAGACCTAACCTCGATCATCATTACTAAAGTCCGGTACGATAAAACACAAAGTCTCGATTATCCACTTTGACGTTAAATCATCCATCACAAAATGTATTCAAACCCAGTAAATACCACAGGCTAGCGATGGCATCGATAGTTAATTATGGTCTCGATAAGTTAATTAATGACTAATTAATAACTAAGAAAACATTTCAGACCTAAAGATTTAGCTCTTGCATAATGTATGTTTACTAGCCGAATTACATACCAGAATTGACAAATGTAATTATCTATCCTTAGTTTCAAATAAAACAAAGTACCGTTGTTATTAATCAGCCAGTTAAAATAGTTTTGATGAAGAGTTAGACTATCTTCTACGTCATGGTTCTAAATATGAAAGTAGACATTTTCCGTGTCGTACATTCAGATAACGTTTTGTTGTACGACGTATCATTAACAGGTAGTGGCTAATTGCACACAACTTATATACCTATATTACTTGTTTCCTGTTGTCATAAAACATATTAAACAACTATTAACTAATTCTCTGGGTTTTTGTATATAGATTAAATAATTTATTAAAAGCGAGCCAATTTTCTGAATATTGGACTCACGTACATAGAGGCCGCAAATGCGGGTGCATAGGCGTTGTTTTCTTTTTCATATTTATTTTTTTAAGTCAGTGTTAAAATGGATGCTGATTACCTATTTATATAACCAAAGAATATGACGGTTTTCATCACTCGTTAAAACCAACTAGGGACCTTTAAGAATATTTCTTAACAACTACACTTGCATTGTGACTCGAACAGAAATTGGGCACAATTATTATCTTACCAAACTTTATTTACTATAAGTAATGTCCAGAAAAACACGGGACTGCTAAAAACAAAAAATGATTCTAATATTATTTGTAAACTGAACAGAAAAAAAACAACAGGCCTCTATTTGTTGAAAGAGTTCAATTTCATGCTCAGGTTGATTTTTGACGCGTGAAAATTGGTGAGAAAAATGGTTCTCCCTTTAGAACTCACGTTCGGAATTTAACAACTAAAAGGTGACGTGACGGTCAGTTTCACAGGGCTATGACAAATGTTCCTTTTAACTTGTATACATCTTAAACCTTTATTTTAAACCATAAAGTGGACACAAAAACCAAAAGGACAAACGAAAATTTTCTATTTAATTCACAAAGTTAACAAGACAAAGAACGTAGATGGGCTGAAACGTTAACTGTTTTTGACTAGACGAAACAATTAACTTAAATGTCCTTGGCCGTATAAAAACTCTTTACAATGTTTAATGTCATAAAAAAAAATGAAAAACGGCTCTACATTTTTAATCGACGTATTAAAGTACTATTTGGAAATGTAATATGTTATTCAGGAAGGCGTTGATGTGGGTTGATTAGTATATTTTCTTCTTTATTTTTTTGAAAAAATTAAACGGAATTGGAATTTAACACTACATTATAACATAAGTTTGCAATTAGTTTTATATCCCATGATGACGTACTTAGAAACTAAAGGAAATCAAAATCTGTAAAGTACGATAATACTAACTTTCTACTGTACATTCATGTAAATAAACACGTATATTGAATGTATTTTATAAGAACTGAGTAAGGAAATGTATTAAATATCCAGATCAATTATATAAAACAGAGAATGCACAAGACATTACGCGATCTAAAAAGCGGTCATATATTTTAGGTAAATCTAAAATGTATATTGTTCAGCTGTGTTGTAAAAATACTGCTTTAATAAGCTTGTTACGGTTTTCACCGAAAACACATATACATCGTTGGAAAGTGGCGGGGCCTATAATGAAACCAAATGGAGTCGGTGACAATAACCACGTGACGCGTTATCTAACAAAACTAAGCTTTATATAATAAGCATATATTATAATTCCTTTGGTTAGCTGTAAGTTCAATATGTATCCGGTGTCCAATATAATTCAAAACCGTCTTAGCCGTCTTCATTTTCCTAGGAAACAGTAGTATTAAAAAGTGATAATTTAAGAAAAGGGGGCCGCATGAAAACTCATACTATCATATTTGATAGTAATCACTTCTAACTATCGAAGAGATAAAAACAAATTGAAGATTGAGTTCGCCATCAATTGATTGTGCACAATTAAGATTTTTGATTTTTTTTTCAAGAATAGTCTGTTTATGAATCTGATACTAGAATTTAATCTTAAACTCTACTTACCATTTTCGATAGCATGGGGTCTTTCTGGTCTGGTTGGCATTCGAATATCCATATACATGGATGTCCCCCTTTTCAGCTCTGAAAAAGATAATCCATAACATTAGAGATATGGTTTGTTTTCCCATTGAAATGAGATGCGTCAAGCTGTTAATTCACACTACAGATACCCTGGCTGTGTTATTCGATTACTATTGGTAAACAATGACAGACTGACCATAAGGAAATTTAGACAATGCCCAGTGGCTTGGGACATTTGGGTAACAAAATGGGCCACTGGGCCGGATAAAAAATACTGCTGATAAGGTCATGATCAATAACACACCTGATATCTGATAACATCTTTTTTAAATTAGAAATGATCAGAAATCATCAAAAACAATTTCTTTTTAAAAAACATCCCGTGTTATTAAGCATACTCGATGGATTCAGTAGCTGGTAACATCGGCGGCGATGGTCATCAGAGATTCTCTCACCCAGTGATCTTGAAATGAATTCATAAAAACTTACCCCTTGGTTTGGGAGGATGGGTAGGTGGCTTGTCTTCGTTATTGTCCATTCTTGATTTTACTCCTTAACAAACAATCTATAAGATAAATTTGTAGAAATATAGAACCAAATAGAGCAACTATATATTGCGTGGTATGAATGTCAGAATCAGGATTAGAAACATATACATGAATATACAGACAGCTAGTTCATCAAACTCCCATTAAACGATTGTCGTCATCGACCATTTAAAACTAAATATAGGCATATATAGGCAGAAATACGTGTAGATCATTTGCTTTCTGTTTCCTTGGGAGGGAAAAAACGCTGTATATATATTTTTTTAAAATCGAAGATATGTCGTCATTTCGTACGGCAAAATCTGATATTATTATTTTTAAAGGTAAATCATTAGCTTTAAACATGGGGGTCCAACATATCCCTGTATTTTTATACGTTAAAAGGACATTAATAACGAAGTGCGGTTGTGCATTATTATGATTTTAATATCTATCTTTCCGTTATGAACCAAATAAATGATTTACGTGGTTCAGGCGTTCAAATATGTCAAGGCCAGCTATAACCCTATCTCAACGTTTATTTTATTCTTCAAATTTAAAATACATGTATCACATTTCATAAATTTATATAATGAAACAAAAATTCGTTTTTTTATCTTCAAATATTATGAAAATGCTTTGGTTTCTGTTCTGCACAGCGTTACTATCGCTTTAAATCTTGAATTTATTTAATTTTCAAATTATGTTTTATGGTTTAATTGGGTGGGTCTCCTTTTGGGCTCTTTTGTATATCAATAACAACGATGATGTGCCTATTTAGGCTATTTATATTCACACAAAAACACATTCATACGAGCGCATATTTATACAAATATAGCTTCAAACCCAGACCTGTATTGAATTAGGTTAGTCGCACGTATTATTATGATTAGTAATGACCGAGCTCTTTCGATTAAATTTTTGTTTGAAGCGACTTAGAGGAAGTGGGTTTGTTTACTAAATTTTGCCTTAAAATGTCGACAGTGGAACATAAAATCGGGTATATCTTAAAATTGGCTATATCTAGCGACATAAAATCTTCAAAAATCAAAGTATAAGCAGGTCGTGACGTTAGCAGATCTTCTATACTATGCGTTCTGCCATTTCTCTAGTATTGTCTTGATGATCTGCCCACATCACCCCATATTCCTGAAGCAATGGCCTGAGAAATCCCTCTCTAGGCCTTGCTCTTCTTACACTGAAAACTTGAGTTTCTGACGGAGTGTGTCCATCTCATCGTCCAATCAAAGTACAGTAAAATAAAGTGAATTTTCATGACTGTCGCTCAACGGGGTGACTGATTAAAAAAAAAATCCCATTGTTTGTTCATGCTGATTTCAAGAATTTGTTTTACCCTTGGGTGCATTGGGAGCAAACATCGATATTCATATCGTTAAACTTGACCGTCGCTGAAACTCGCTATTGGAACGAAAATTCTTTGAATTAGGTCTAATCAAACGAAACACTGCAAGGAGTATGGCACCACCCCAGCTTACATTAACTTTCGTTTCATGTTAATCTTTGGATAATTAAACTATTAGTTGAGAATGATTGGGTTGTGTTTGAATAATCTGTCTACGATAAGTAAACTTTCATTTTATTTATCTGAATCACTCAATATATAAATCATTTTACAGTAGACGTAACTGTGCGTATCGATCCATTTAGATGACAATAACGAATATCGAGATTACACCAATACGTAGAAATATGTAAATTTAATGTACAAATATCTTCTAAACAAATGGTTATAAAATGTTTTAGTTATCGTGGAAGCATCAGCGATGGTCAACGTTATTTGAATCTAAAAACTGAAGTCGATAAATCAGGTGTAAATAACATTTGTTGCAGCATAAATCAAAATTGAACCACATGTTAGTCCCGAAATAACCTGGTTTATGTCGACTGAAAGTTAAACTCGTGTTGAATGTAAAGAAACTGAATGGCATTACATACTATTTTTAGAAACATTATAACTCGGAAACTTAAATACATCCACAGCTATTGAGCATAAGTTTAGTTAATACCTCACTGTAATCCACACAAATCTGATACCCCTCTGAGGATGACTACCCATCTAAACAATCTTAAAATCATACGTATACTTTATACCCAACTTCACTATAACAAATCTTCTTGTGTTTACCTTAGATGAAACCTGATGACTTGTTGAAGCTTCACATGTTCCTAGAAGTTTCGATGGATAATAATATTATTCCTAACCGACTTTTAAAAAAAACGTTTCTTAAATATTATCATACATCCCCGCGTCCTTTATACATGAATACCTCGTAATGATATTTGCAAATGTCAACTATATACCATGAACTGTATAACACCATAACATTATTGCAATCCGGTGGTAACAGAGCTATAGGTAAATAGGACACACGCGTCTACGGTTTCTTTTAGGACCTTGTATTTTCGATTACTAAAGGTCTTGACGTCTTGAGGGACACACATTTTACGATATAATCACAAAAGTAAACCAATTCTCAGCTTAATCTTACATCCGCATAAAGGATTATACGCTGATACATATATCAATATTTTGTAAATTAATGGAGAACAGGATTGAAATGAAATGTATCCGGTTTAATGTCCTTCTGTTCTGCACAGACTCGGCTTATAAAGATGCACAGTGGGACTACGGCCTAATCGTTATTTCGAAATCCAACTGTCGAGGGTACTTTTACGTGTGCACAAATGAAAACACGGGACCTCGGTTTGTCGTCCCATGCGAACGGCTAAGGAGGAAAAGTAAAGTGTAACGGTTTATTATCTAAATTATATATATTATAAAAAGAAAAAAGAAAACCTTAAAAACTTTACATTTCATTTTTTGAGAAACTATTAATGTGGTCTTAGGAAAAAATTATAACCGTTTTTGCCCAGCAAAACGTTATCTTTGGCCTTCTTTCATTTTGGGTAATAATTACATAGAAAACGGACGCTCTGAGTTAACAGAGCTCATCAATTACACAATTCGAAAAATGACATTGGGGCAATTTGACATTCTTATAATAATGGCCCACCATCAAGCGACAGTGGTCGATGTAATTAATTACAACCGTACTAACACTCATTAGCAATAACTCTCGTAAGGTTTAGGATCAATCCTTTGCTCTTAAGGATGCTTAATAATCCGTTAACACGTCGACTCTGAATGTTGAATAGCTGTTTGGCACAGAAATCAAAGTTCAGAGATCTTCAATAAACAGCAATTATCTATAATCAGACTTTTGTAATATCAATCACGTGTGTTATGATTTATTTGACCAATCACGGCACTGCGTCATATTAACTCCATCAAAGAAACTTTCTGTGGGATTAAAAATATGATAAAGCAGACGTGAGTGTCTTTATAATGATAACACAGAAAAATTTACAACATTCAACCAACATGAAACGTACAAATTATATTTGAATGGATGAGATTACAAAAACATCAAGGCACGGGCTCGTCCCCCCATATTTCTAACGATTTCTTTATAAAGTCGATTGACTTCATTTGTTAGGGCTTCTTTGTAACACTAGATAAGGAGTCAATTTTATACAAATATTTAATTTACAACACTGTCAAATTAATTTATGTTACATTTGCTTTTTAATCAAACAAAGAAATATGTTACCTACATTTTTTAAAAAATACAATATTGGATCTAAATATTTTCTGAATTTTATATAAAAATTGATTTACTGTTTCTAAATATAGCAAATATTTTTAAAACAAAGGACGTTGTGATACTTACATATTGAAATACGTATATGTTTCAAAATAATTGTCAGGCTCTACGAAGCACTATATTCGGGGAATATAGACTACAGACTAAAAATAATACCAGCTTTCTTAAAGGACAACCAAACGATTGTGGAAATTTCCTAAAAATGAGCATTTCTCTAAGTATCATATTAATTTAAGGAGTTTATCCAGGATATAAATGAGGTTGTTTCTAAATAATAGTTCTGATTGGTCAGAGTTTCGCTACATGCAGACATGGCATGTAATCTTCAAAACCGTAACCCGATTGGACAAATCCCATTATGATGATGATGCGTTTTAATAAATTTTATTCTGATAATGGTCTTTTATAAAATAAATATCGCGACTAGCGTCACATTTTCTTCTTTGTAATAATTTTATGCAAAATTTGTTTTTTCAACACGTGTTGCTACTTCTGATCATAGCCATTGTCCTTCTCATTTTATTTCAATTAGGAAACCTTATGTAACGACGGTAACCTTAACCCTTCGACCCTTCAAAATTCTTTAAATGCATGTCCAGTCGGAGATGATACAAAGCGGGCGCCATCAGTCTAGACGGATATTTGTGTGTCGATATTACTGCTGACAGTCAATACTAAAAACATAATATGTTCTGAAGACATCAATTCATGTTCTGTGATATTTTTAGCTAAATTTATTTCTAACTTCTTTTGAGCCCCCTTTTTAATATATACAACACGGGAAAACTTTTAAAGTACACATGAATATATAATTGTGTGAGGTAGCCTAAAAAACGCACTTTAAGACTTTGAGTCCAACAGTTAACGCAGAAAAACTACAACAATGAACCCCTAGTCGAAACATCGCCCAGTCATTTGATGCCATATATTTGTATCCTACTGTATACTCACTTCAATTACTAGATGTCAATGGAACAGTTTAAAGAGTCGGTAGAACATTCGTTAAGAATCCAATCCCTAAATGATCGAGCATATCGTGGGTCTCCGCTTGAAACCTCGTATAACGAAAAAATGCGGAAAATTAGTAAAGGAGTTAACAGAAAAAATCTGTTTTACATAATACTGCCGCATTTTTCTTAATAACATATCAATTTGGTGAAAATATGTGTACGTTTTGATTCATGAACATTTTTAAGTGAAAATATTTATTTATTCTAAAATATAATCGAAAAATGTTATATACGTGTTTTTGATTCTAGAAAGATGACCAATTCTTCGGGTACGTGTTTTTTGATCAACGAAAGTTTAAATACAAGTTTAATAAAACAATGTTAAAATAATTAGTTTTGAGC